TGTCTACCTGGCTCTCTCTCTGTCTCATTTACACTATGTTGAAACAGGTGAGTTGATACACAGTGTACACTTTGCCTGGACTTGAATGGGGAAAAGCTTGCTGGAGTAGATGACCCTGGGCTGTTGGCTCAGAAAAGAAGGATGTGGTTTGATGAAAAGAAGAAAGAAAAACGTTATGGGAATTTGGCAGAGGATGAAAGGAGTCAAAAAACTTAGTAAGGACTAGCACTCTTCAGAGTAAAGTGACTTCCACTTACAGGAGAAGGGCTATGTTCTGCATTTCCCTGTAGGGGGAGTAGGAGGGAAGGAAGCCTGGTGCTGAAGTCTGGCCTTATAAGAAGGATGACCCAGATGTGTATCAGAGAGCTAATGCTTGTCAGGCCCTTGTGGGAAAAGGCCAGAATTCCCCTCCTTCCACCCATGAGCCTCGGGCTCCCCCATGGCTACTGGCCAGAGGAAGTGGTTGTTGGGTGCAGTATCAGATGGGATGGGTTACCAGGACATTCTGTGGTGGGGGTAGTAAAAAAACAAATTGGGTCTTTAGCCCAACATCATCTTCTAATAAACAGCTCCTGATGTATGGTCATTCTAAAACTACTCCAAAGAACAACTGTTCCTTCCTAGTTCTAGCTGGATACTCTTTAATTTCAAATATGGTTTAAAATTGGTATGGAAACAGCATATACAGGTGGTTAAAAGTTCAAACAGTTGAACAGATTATCACGAAAATCAACAAATAATCTTTAATCTGATGTACTACTCTTGTGGAAACAACCACTTTGGACTCTGTCTTGATTTCTTCTGTTGGTTTCTACCACATTTCAAAATTAGAATTTAGGGGTTTTGTTTGTTTGTTTGTTTGTTTTTTTAGAAATTTAGTTTTCCTGCATGTGTGTGCATATATTTGAATGTATGTGTATTACAATCATTTTGCTGGGGATGGGACCCAAAGCCTTACATATGCTAAGAAAATATTCTGCTTCTGAGCTACACAGTCCTTCACTGTGATTTAAAATTAAGTATAGAAATTATCTTCATGGAAATCTTTAACAAATGAAGATTTAATTTACTGACCTTAGGGCTAAATGGTGAAGTGGTGGACCATGATTACTTCTTTTTTTTAGTATAACTTATTTCCCCTCCTTTCAGCTTAAACAATTTTGCATATTAATATCTCTATACACTTTTACCACCCAACCTCTCTATATTTGTATTTTGTTTTATTTTTGCAGTGCTAGGCATTGAACCTGGTCCTTGCATGCTAGGTGAGCCCTCTAGTGCTAAGCTTTATACTGGCTCTTCTCTATATTTTGGAAATAATCCTGTCAAATGGTCTCTATGTCTACACTAGCAAGCTCTTGACAGATTAGTCACTCTGTAGCTATGTTGTAAAGTAGACACCCCCAGAACTTTCTGGAGTTATATCCCCAGGTCTTGGTTGCAATATATATTTCCTTGCTTTAAAAAAAAATAGCTGCATATTTATGGCATTCACTAGGATTCTTCAGTGCATAGGGAGTGTACAACAATCCAGTAAGAAAATAATTGCTATCCAGTTCTGTTGATGCTCCCGGTACAGTAAGGAGCTTCCTAAAAAGCGAATGTGCAGAATACCTTGCAGTTTGGCTGGGTATAAAAATGTGAAGTGTTTCCCTAGCTGTCTGTGTTCCTAGCAAGAAACCTAATGTCTAATTGATTTTCCCCTTTGTCAATGTGTTCTCTTTTTTAATAGCTTTGTGTCTTTAGGAAACATTTGTTATACTACAATTATAAACGTTTGCAACAAGCTAGCACCTTTACAGTATCTCACTCTGACTCGTATGTAACTAAATTCCTCCTCCCTCCACTCTGCCCTATAAATGGCTTATGGTAAATTCTGCTGTTTGGGGAAAAGTTTCTGCTTATATAGGGTACTTCAATAAATTCTTTGAAGTAAACTTAGCTATCCAATGAAAATATATGCCACTCTAGATTGCTAGTAAGACAAAAGAGGATGGAAAAAAAGCTGTTTAACTGAACTTGGGGCTCAGTTTTGGAACTGATTTTACCCACCCTATTGCATGCACACAGTAAAGCAATGTCTGACTCTCAGCTCAGTTATCTTGTTTCTTGGTCATTTCCAGTAACTCTCTCATCTCCCTACCACCCCTCTCCACAAATTACTTTCTGTACTCATGTCTACTTGTTTTGTTTCGGGACCTGCTGAGTTTAACCAGGGCAATTTGGACACAACTAAAGGCGGCAATTCTCTTCCAGAATCTGTCAATAGCCAGCACTTCAGTGGTAAACATTAGGGCCCTGTGAGCCCCGTCTGCTTCTGTGACTGATCGTTGTTAGGGCTAGTCTTATGTGAGCTCAGTGTAAGAGAGCGCAGTTGTTGTGAGTTAATGATTGCCATGGTGGTATGAGTCTAGAGCAGGGGTTCCCAACCTTCCTAATGATGAGACCATTTAATATATATAATTCTTCATGTTGTGGGGACCCCCAACCATAAAATTATTTTGTTGCTACTTCATAACTGTAATTTTGCTACTGTTATGTATCATTATGTAAATATCTGATATGCAACCCCCCAAGGGGTCATGACCCACAAGTTGAGAATCACTAGTCTAGAGAATAGCCTTCCACAGCTCTTCAACTCTTACCTTCCAGCTCTTACACACGTCCTGCCTCCTCTTCTGCGGTATTCCATGAGCCGTAGAGGGGGTGGTGACATGTCTTCTTTAGGAGTGAGCTCACAGCTGTCACTTATTCTTAACAGCTTGAACAGCCACAAGTCTGCATTCATCACTGCTTGTTGTCAGAGAGGCTTCTCTGTTTAAGGCTGGGGGCAGCTTTTGTCTATGAGCCTATGCACAGGTACGAGAATTCAGACCGCATACTTTGGTTTTATGCACAATCCTGTGTGCATATGGGAGACTGACTGGAGTATTTCAGTTAGAACTAAGCACTTCAATAGAATTTGACAATAATCTTCATTACCATAAAATGAATAAACAATAAATAAATTAACTGTTATATAAAGACACGCATAAGTTCTTAGGACATTTAATATTGTCTTCCTCCTCCTCCTCCTCCTCCTCTTCCTCCTCCTTCTCCTCCTTCTTGTTCTTCTTCTTCAAATCCTGGTAGTCTAGAACCCCTTAGTGACTTTCCTCCTCCTCTTCCCCTTGCCCTTCCCTCCCCTTCTCCTTTCCCCTTTTCTATCTTCTTTCCCCTTCAGTGTTTTTGACATGGTGACTTTACGGAGTAGCTTAACTTGGCCTTGGACTCATGATCCTTGGCCTTGGCTTCCCTAGTGCTAGGATTAGGGATGTACATCTTCAAGCCTGGCAGGGTTTGGGGGTAGCAGCTTGATTTTGTTGTACTAGGGATCAAAGCCAGGGCCTTGACAAGCATGTTAGGAGAGCACCTGCCACTGGGTTTCACCTCCAGTCTGTGAAGTGAGTGTCCTCAAGAGAAGGGATGGTGTCTTCCAGGGAGCTGGGAGAATGTGGGACTCCCAGAACATGGGTCTGAAGCACTGGTCTATACATCAGGCCAGCATCTTGTGGGGACTTCAGCATGGCCTTCTACTCTTTCAGTGGCTGTTAAATGTCCCCCTTACTGTTGAGCAGATGTGTGTTTTGCATGTACGCAAGAGAAGAGGTGGTATGGCTGCCTTCAAGGTTCTTGTGGACTTACTGTTCACAGTTGGAAGATGTGTGCTAAGCTGGTCCAGCTGGCAGGTTTCTGGAGGCTTCTTCAAGGGAAAACACACTTTGAGCTGCTGGGGAAATTCAGAATGATCAGTTCCAGCCTTTCTTGTGCTGGGGAGCCAGCACAGCCAGCAGCCCTGAAGATGCCTTCTTTTTCCTGTGTTCTGTACTCTGGCTCCCGGGCAGCTTTGTGGTTTGGGATGATGAATAAGCTACAGACCCACATTTTTCCTGGGCTCGATTTTCTGATAGATTGTCTCCCATACTTGTTCAATCCCACTAGAACACTCCTTCCCCCAGCCTTGTCCTCTCCTGAGAAATGTTGAAAGCTTTTGTCCTGGGAGGGAAATGACCAGGGTCCAATGTGTGCACCTTCACAACCAGCTGCCAGAGCTCAAGTCCACGCCTTGGACCTCAGCCACACCATGGGTCCCATGACACACAATATGTAGGGAGAGACTGGGTGACCAGCAGTAAACACTTTCATTGGGGTCATTTCACCCCAGTTCCCAGGTCCTACTGCTAGCCAAATATTCACACTCACAAGGAGAAGGGTGCTGGCATATGTTTGGAATTGCTTGTACACAGAACCTACACAACTTCCTTCCATACTTTTGGATTGTATCTAGATGACTTACATTCCTCAGTGCAATACATGCTGTGGAAATCATCGTTATCGTGTGCTGAAAAGGGGAATCATAACGAAAAAGCTTGTATGTATTCAGTACAGATACAATTTCCTTTCAAATATTTCTTTTTAATCTATGAATGCAGAGGACTGATGTATGAGTTAAAGCAAAGACAACATGATATGAGAATAACCTCTGTGGGTTTAAAGGCAGAAGAGTCCTTTAGAATTTGACCAAATGTCATGGAAGCTAATGATGTAACGGGGGTGAGATGGTAGACAGGTCACTCATTAAGAGGCTGCAGGGTGGAGGGAGAAAGTAGCCAGGTAAAGCCCAAGTCTGAGCAAAGTTTGCCAAGTAAAGGGTGCATGGTAGGGGCGAGGAATGGAAACTATTCAGGTGTGGGTGAAACACACAGTGTCTCATGTGCACAGGGGTTCATTGAACTGCTATTCACAAGTGTTGCTCTTATAGGCATGTGGCTCCCAGATGGGATAAGTGGCCTGGTCACCACATGGGAAAGTTGAGTATTCAAAGTTTGAACTGAAATCACATTGGAAGCTTCTCTGATCAGCTGCGTCCCTCTACACGGGACATACTGTTGGGGGTCACTTTGTTGTTATTTAAGGGTTACCTCTTTAGCTAATAGTAGTGCTTTTCTTTGTACTTTCAGTACGGCCAAGTACAGCGTGTTGACATTTCTACCTCGATTCTTGTATGAGCAGATTAGGAGAGCTGCTAATGCCTTCTTCCTATTTATTGCCTTACTGCAGGTAATGGGTTCTTTAAGTACTTGAAATTTGCAAACTCAGTTATGTGCAAAATGAGATTTTACTAGCAAGTATCTTTATTGGAAAAATGTTGGACTATTTGCAGTTATTTGCCTTCTCAAATAATCACTAGAGTGAACAAACATGGTCTTTGTACAAAACAGATTTGGGAGAGAATTCCTTGAAAAAAAGTAGATACTAAAAAGGGAAGGGGAACTGGTTCTTATGGGTCATACTTGTCGTGTTCACTTTTTTATTAATACATATTCATTATATCAGACACTATATTCCATTGTGATATTTCAAACATATATACCATGCATGTATTTTGGCCATGAAGGTCATACTTCTAACCCAAGCACATTGCCATGTCAGATGAACTTTCAAATGTAAACTACTTAGCTAGTTTTTTAACTAGTAGGGCTTTTGTTGTGTAACGGAAATGGACCAGACTAGGGAGAGTGGGGGTTGAGCGCCATGTTTTCCTTCTCTGTGGAGAGGCTCACATGCCACACCATCTTGTGTTTTCTTACAGCAAATTCCAGACGTATCGCCAACAGGACGATACACCACCCTGGTGCCATTGATCATCATTTTAACAATTGCAGGCATCAAAGAGATTGTAGAAGATTTTGTAAGTTTTTGACTCTACATAATACAACATCGTATCATGACATTTGAAGTATATGTGACTGGATGAAATGCTTGTAACAGGAAATAGGGCTACAGCTAACCAGCTGCTAGGGGAGTAGTGGCGTTTTCTGGGGAGGAAGAGATACTTCAAGACTCCTCGATGCCTGTGCAGTGATTCCGAGGCACTTCTATGTTCTGGATCATTTTGTTAGAACTTGGCTGGTGTTTATCGCTATTAGTCCTTGTATCTTGCTTTAGAGTGCCTGTATTCAGGTATCAGATGAAGCCTTTAGTTAGCACTGTCTGCAAGCAGCTTTGTGCTTCTTATGTCTGAAGTAATTCTCCAAGAAACTTCCTTCTCACGCTTCCCTCACACCTCATTGGCTACAACCACGTTGCCATTATCTCCCTCCATCTCTCCATTTTGCACACACACACACACAAACACACACACACATACACACACACACACACACACACACACACACACACACACACACACACACACACACACTTGATTCCCCTCACTTATATACTTCATGGAATACGTAGTAAATTAACTTGAGAATGAAACCTGCTCTTTGTCGTTGGGTTTATAATACTGAGTCATTGTTTCAGGCCGTCCACAAATAACTGTGAGGAATTTGAAACGTTGAAGGGCTTGTAAATCATTAGAACCAAAAAGTCACCTAAGCTTCAAGTAGTCTCATCGAGATCTAGTCAGTGCTGACAGATGGATGGCGAACCACCCAGCTTAAATCTACAGCATTAGCATTGTAGGGTTCTTGGCCCCCATTACCCTCTGGCTTTACTGCTTTCCATTTCAATTATTCATCTGGAACATTTGGATGTGAGAACCTTTGCTTTTTTCCTGTTACAGAAGCGACATAAGGCAGATAATGCAGTTAACAAGAAGAAAACAATAGGTAAGCTACCAGGCTCAGTCTCTCTTTCCGTTGTTTGTTTAGGAACGAGTCCTGTGCTTAAGTAACGCTTGATCATGGCTATTGACATTGAGATTAAGCTGGGAACATTATCTACAAAATCTTTCAAGAAATAGATGAGTGCTAAAATAAAATGTTAGTCTTTATAAGATATCAATGGGATTTTATACTCTGGAGACAAGATTTTCAGAAATTAGCTGATGTCTGTAGAAGTTTCATGGCTCCACAGCCGTGATTGTTACTCACTTTCCTTATTATTTTGGGTTTTGTATCAATTCAGTTTTTTGTTGCTGTTCTTGTTTCTATTGGAATTATGTAACACCAAGCCTTTTCTACTCCTGGGCTAAATATAAATTTGGTTCGCTTACGTGCACACATAAACTCATGTGTTGGAGAGGTACACATATGGAGGCCTATATTGGCATGTTTGGTCATCTACCATTCTGCCAAGGATATGATTTGTTAGGATTAATAAATACAAGTTTCACAGAGCCTTTTTTGGGGTTGTAGAAAGCTGACATTTTATTTTGAGTCTCTGCATTACTAACCAATTCATTGTTTCTTCTTTTACAGTGTTAAGAAATGGTATGTGGCATACTATCATATGGAAAGAGGTAAGAATCAGTTTTAAAGCTAATGCCAGGAAATATTGATTTGGAGACTTGTCACAGATTGCTGATGTTGATGGCAATATAAAATTTGCTGTAAGGCCAAGGCCGTGTCTACTTTATATGAGTTTTCTCATGTAGTCTGCGTTCCCGTGAGAACTGCCATGTGCTCCCTCCTTTCTGACCCCTTCTGTAAGGACCTAATGTTCAAGCTGTGGACATCTTTATTCTCCAAGGATAGTTCTGGAACCTCACCGCACTTAACAGTCTCTAAACCCCATGTGAGAAACATTTCCGTGGTCTCTTGTCTTCCTTCACCTAAATTCAAATGTTTAGAGCTGTTATCTTTTAACTTTGGAGATTCTCACTTCAGATGTGTTTGGTGGAAAGATCTCTGGGTGTGAGCAGGGTTCCCGGGCAGGGTGATCTCTGAGTGTGAGCAGGGTTCCCGGGCAGGGTGATCTCTGGGTGTGAGCAGGGTTCCCGGGCAGGGTGATCTCTGGGTGTGAGCAGGGTTCCCGGGCAGGGTGATCTCTGGGTGTGAGCAGGGTTCCTGGGCAGGGTGTGGAACCAGTTACTGCTTTTGTCCTCAGAGTGGTAATAAGAGGGATTTTTCTCCCTGCCGCTGGCAGGGTGAGGGCTGAGTTCATGGAGGAAAGATGTTATTGTTGTTGTTGTTGACTGAAATCACCTGTGCTGTTTTGGTGTTTTGTATCTGAAAAGCCAGCAGGTTCTTGTTTTTGTTGTTGTTTTTTTTTTTTTCCCAAGACAGGGTTTCTCTGTGTAGTTTTGGTGCCTGTACTGGATCTCGCTTTGTAGACCAGCTGGCCTCGAACTCACAGAGATCTGCCTTGCTGTGCCTCCCTTTTATCCAGCTATCTGAGCTGGGCCTTGTTGGTGGACACATAGTGTTAATTTTAGAGATGCCAATCATTCTAGCACTCAAAACTGATGGGTTTTTCTTCTTGTTGTTTGTTTATCTTTATTTTGAAAGAGAAAACAATGTTTTAGAAGGGCAGCTTCAAGTATTGTTTCTTGCTTACATATCTAAGTTACAGTAAGTGCCTCTTGTGGCCTTTGAATGGGAAACAATGTTGCCAGTGTGCCTACAACACTCACTGTGGTTTTCATTTGACTTTACCCAGTTTAGAACCATCTACCCTTTCAAGAAAACTCCCCTTTGTCGTGTTTTGTGGAACCCTATAACCCCTGTGGCCTCCTTGGCCTCCTACACTTTGGAAGTTCAGTGTGATGGTTCTTGGTCAAAAGGCAGAATTACCAGGGGAGAACTGGTACCCGTGCAGTGGGAAATGGAGAATCATCATAGCTCCTCCATTTCTCAGGGGTCTTCTTGCTGCTTCATCCTGAGACAGGCACAAGCATTGGCCAGATGAAGAATGACTTGCATCCAAGTGTCTTGGCACCACTTGAAGTAGTAGTGGGACCTGCAGTGGTGAATTCTGAGCCCAAGAGCTGCTGGCCCTATGGGCTCCTGGAGTTCCTTCCTGCTCCCACAGGTGCTTGGGATATCACCACCTTGTTGTAGGCCGGGCTGGATACATTGTGGTTTTAATTTCAGTACTTTATGGTGACCCATCTTAAATGGGTCTGTTAGCAGAGGCCAGAGACTGTTCAAGCATGGAATTCATGCTGAAGTCTTCTTGTGCGGTTGTCCTCAACCATGCAGGCCATCCTTGGTGCCCAGCACTGGTCAAGCACACATGTGCCCTATTTCTAGAATACAGAGGTCTGGAGTTTCCATTTGAAGTTCACAGGAGAGGCTGCTGCTGGCCATGTTGCCGGGCAGCTCACTGCAGCCCAGTGCACCCTGCAAGCTTGGCAGGGGTCATGAAAAGATGTTGTTCAAGACAGAGGGTAGGAAACATTGGGGTGTTCTGGAGAGCCACACACAGCTGCACTCCTGTGAAGGTGTGACGTTTGTAACAGCAGCCCTTGGGCTTTGCGTGATTTTGGTCATCTCAGGGAGGAAGATCTCAATAGTGGGATCAATCAACTCAAGAGAGTCCTTTGGCTGCTTATAATTGAGAGATAGGAGGAGCCTTCTGAGGCTGCCGTGAATCCAGGGACCCAGAAGAGTTTTGTTCACTGCACTAATTCTTTTAGCGAATACCACACACGCCTGGACTGGTTGACCATGTGTAGGGACACCCAGACAGAAAGGCATCTGCAGGTTCTGAGTTAGCAGCTTCTCATTGTCCTTGAAACCTCTTAGCACCCGGTTCCTGGGAAGCCAGTGTCCTCTAGAAACGAGGGAAAGGTGTTTTACTTGTCTTCTCGCTTTGAATTAGGAGCAAAGAGTCCACTTCTTTTTAAAAGGACTAAGTTTTCTTTCTGGTTTTTATTCATTGCTCCTTCTTTTTCTAAACTATTTATGTAAGATATTTTTATTTAAATATGTCTTCAGTGCGCATGAGCATCCCGTGTTTGCTCTGTGTTATTATGGGCTCCGCTTTGATTTGTGCCTGTCTTCTGCCTTCAGATTACATACTGACTTGCGATTTGATGTTAACTTCACGTGACCCAGGGGTTTGGGCTTTGATGTCTGCTGTTCTTGTCTTTGATAGGCATTCTTCTGCACCAGTGGGATGGTTGTTCAAACCCCTCTCATTTCCCAGCAGAAAATTAGTGGGTTTAGTGGTGGTGGTGGGTTTAGGGATGGGACTGGGGCCTTATGCATGCTGGGTAAATGCTTTTACCGTTGACTCACCTCTAGTCCCTAAAAGAACGTTACATGGTACCTGCTGGTCTGTGTGATCGAGTCATTTCCAGGAGTGTAGCTTTTGAAACTCATCGTAATCTAAGTAGAAGAGAGACAGAAAGGCGCGGCACCTCTCCTGTACTCTGCACCTATTCGTGCACTAGGAACTGTTTCTCCGAGTCATCAAGGAATTCTTCTGACTTTGACCTTCACACTGACACAGTCCATTAAGTTATGCCCAAACCCCTGCGGGAGACTATGCTTATCCACCTGTTTCACGCCTTAAGCTGTGGTCTGTTTTCACTTAGTCTCAAAAGTAAGTGGAGGAGGCCAGTGCTCAGTAGGCCAAGGTGCTTACTGCCAGCCTGAGTTCCATCCCTAGGATCCACATGGCACAAGGAAAAAAACTCCTGGGGATTGTCCTCTGACCTCCACACATCCCCTGTGACATATATACTCATACTCACTGATGTGCTCTCTGTCTTTGTCTGTCTGTCGTCTGTCTCACACATACACACACACACACACACACACACACACACACACACACACACACACACAAATAAATAAAATAGAAAACAACAACAACAACCAAAAAATCCGAGGTGAAAGGTGAGGACATGAAGTTGGAGTGAATCACATTTTCTTCTACTTATCCATACACATTCTACAGTGTACACATTCCATACACATACTACAGTATTAATGTACACACACACACACACACACACACACACACACACACACACACACATACTTTTTAAAAACTAAATATTGTGTGCTGCCCATCCAATGGTGGTGTCCACTTTCAAAGTGAGGGTCCTGGAGCCAGTTAGAATGCACAGCTCATAGAGAATGCAGTTTTACACTCTAATTGGTGCATACACCAGCGTTCCACCAGGGTGCCCACTTTTAAATTATGGCTGTGTGGAGAAATAGTCTGGTGGGTAAAGGAATTTGCCTTGGAATATTGACAGCCTGAGTTAATATCCCCCAAACCCACGTCAAAGCCAGATGTGGCATGCGCCTGTGACCCCAGAGCTCCTATGACTCGATAGGTAGAGAAACAGAAGAATCTCTTGGAAGCTTGTGGCCAGCTCGTTTGGACTGTGCAGCATAGTGGCAAACAGCAAGAAAGGTCCTGCATCCAAAACAAGATGGAGGGTGAGGACTCATGCCTGAGATTGTCCTCTGACCTCCACATGTGCACCATGGAATGCACACACAACAACAATAAATATTTAAAAAAATAATGGCTGTATTACTCTGGCTGTATGACCTCAGTCAGTGATTTTGCTTTAAGGCTCAGTTTCCCCATTTGCAAAGCAGGAGACCTTAGCTACCTCACTTAGTTGAGCCCGTCAGCAGTCCCATGAGATACGGGCTGCTATCCTTGTAACACAGATGAGAGAGCAAGGCACTCTCATGGTTACACAGCGGCTCAGGGAGCTAGAGAGGGACTCAATCCAGTAGCCCAGGCCAGCTTCAGAGCCACATGTGCATCACCCCTACCATAAGCAACTATTGAAATGTTTGCGCATTTGAGATGGGTGGATAATTGGAAGAAAATATGATCTTCATCCTTGTCCATTCCTCTTCCCCTTCCCTCCCTCCCTTCCTTCCTTTCTTTTTTAAAATCCTTTTCAGGAAACATCACTGCAGAATTTCAATTCTGGGACTGGAGTGTTGGCTCCGTGGTTAAGTGAGAACAACTTACATCCTGTGGTTCAGGACTACCTGTAACTCCAGCCCCGGGGACTCTGACACCCCCTTCTCCACAAGCACCTATACCTAGATGCAAATATATGCACACACAGACACAAAGACAGACAGACAGACAGACAGACAGACAGACACACACACACACACACACACACACACACACACACACACACAAGCTATAATTAAGAATAAAAAATGCCATGTGGCCATTCCCCACTGTCTGCAGGGACTAATTCCAGGTTGATAATAACAGATGTCAAAGTGTATAAATGTTCAAGTCTTTTATATAAACTAGAGAAACATTTGTTTGCATAGAACATGCCTGCGTACTCCCACAAATGTAAAATTTCTAGATTACAAAAAGCCCAATGCCGTGGCAACAGTACTATGGTGTGTAGCTTAGGAGACAATGCCAGGAAAATCGTCTGTGCTGCTCAGCATGCAGGCAGCTTTTGGTTTCATTTGTTAATGCTATCGCCTCTCTTTTACTTTTGTTGTGTTTTGTTGAGACGACGTTTCCTGTGCAGCTCAGGCTGGCCTCAGAACTACAAGCGCTGGGATCCTAGGTGTGCACCACCACTCTGGGGCAGCTGCACTTCTCTTTGCAAATATTTTGCATTTATAGTTGGTTGAACTCACAGACATGGAGTTTGTGGGTATGGAAGCCAGCTGTGGCATAGTGGAAACATCTGCCCTTTGTTCTTGTAGCGTGTGGCTTAGTTATGTACTAATTTTCTTCTTCACGTATTTAACTACCCTTATCACATGTGAGCTTTCTTTCTTTTCATGCCTTCTGTTCTGTCCCTGGTCTCTAGGTGGCAGTGGGAGACATCGTGAAGGTCCTCAATGGGCAGTATCTTCCAGCAGACATGGTCCTGTTCTCCTCCAGGTCAGGTGTGCCAGTGGGCACAGGTTTTGAAATGAATGTTAAGGACAATAAAGTACTAAATGAACTGCAGAAATCTTGATTCATCTTTTCTCTTCTTTCCCATGAGTTCTTCTCCCACAACCCTGACCTTTACAAGCTGAGCATCCCTAATGAACTTTAATTTTGGATTTGGGGAGCATTTTGGATTTCAAATGTTGAGATTTGAGATGTTCAGTTGTTAAAGTCTATGCAAATATTTAAAAATTCGAAAGAGTAGAACATTGGGAATACGTCTAGCCTCCAGCATTTTGGATAAGTTAGGGATGCTCAGCCTGGACCTTTGTTAATTGCCTTCTCTGCTGTGACCCTTAGCTGCTCCTTTTTGGTTTGATTTGGTGTTGTCTCCTGTTCATCCCCTGAGGTTTTTAGAACCTTTCTGCTGGTATTGACGGCTTTAGCTCCCAGTGACTGTAGGGTAGTCCTCACCGGCCAAGACACTGGTAAAGGGAGTGAATGTTCAGTGACACCAGGAGGCAGTGTAGCTGAGACTTGAGCCCTTTCTTGGTCAGTCCAGCTGGCAATCTGTCCTCTAGCCTTCAATGCTGCCTGTGAACAACTGTTCTGAGAATCTGAGGCCTTTTCTCATCATAGACACAGCCTGCAGGTGGCCCTGCTCTTTGCTCTTACCCCAAACAGTTACCGCACCTTGGGCAGTTTTGTACTAGAAACAGTCATCGCCACACAGGGATGTGCATGCTGAGCTGGGTACCACCACCCTTGGCCTTCTTGGCTCCGTGTGTGAAACACATACTGCAAATAATGGAAAGCCAAATCCAGGGTAACAGAGACCTTCTGTTCTGGAGTTCAAGGTGATAGTATGCATTGTTAAGTCGATAATCCCTCTATTTATATGCTGCTGGGAAATGCAGGTGCTTAAGCAGTTTGTGTTTTCTTGGATTGCAGCCATGTTCCTTGTGTAAGATTTATCCCATGTTAGGAACCAAGGGATAAAAGGTTTAAAGACAGGACCCAAACCTATGGAGGGAGAAAGAGCCATAAACAATGGGTGTGACTCATTGGCCCTATTCAGTAGGAATGAAGAAACTATTAGAATATGTCAGTTGGCAGTTTGGGCCAGGTAATTTGTCTGTGACCTCAGGTAAGCTGAGTTACCATAGATGGTTTGCTACACTGACAGCAGCTTTGGGGGGCTCCTCGTATCTGACTGGGTGTTTTCTGTGAGCAGCCTAATCAATGGCTTTTAACCCCAGATACCTTTCGTATTAGTTCATGGAAAAACCAAGGCACAGAGAACTTAAAGATCTTTCCAAAGTCCTATGGCCCCTCAAAGTAGCATCGGGGAGAGTCCTTTCTCGACCACTAACTCTACTGACTAACTTGAACCAGGAGGCTGGAGGTGGGAATATAGTGTATACTCTGCTCACTTTTACGCTCTTCTTAAAATTGACTGAAGAGTTGCCCTCTGACATTGGGACACATGTAGGGAAACAATGGCCGGCCTGGCTTGGGCCTCTTTTAATTCCTATGGCTCTAATTTTCTTAAAGATGTGTTTGTTCTGAGCCTGCCAGGGTAACGCTTTTGGTCAGGGGCAGGAGGGTCCTCAGCCTGTGAGAATCACTCTGTCTCATGAGTGGGTTTTATTCTCATTCCAGTACAAAGGCCTGCCCCCTTCGCATCCATTCTCGGTCACGGTCCAGTCAAGACCAAGCACATGGAGATGAAACTGGATTATTGGTGTTGAGCTCCGCAGATGAGTGTGTAGCTCCCTCTCCCATCCGTTGTGTTACTAGAACAGCATTTATAATAGTGTATTTGAAGGGCGGCCAGCAAACGGTTTCCACAGCAGAGGTTTCATGAGCTGGCCATTTGTGGGGAGGATGGTACTAACCTTGGCCTTTCCCCTTCCTCATAGTGAGCCTCAGGGGATGTGCTATGTTGAAACCGCTAACCTGGATGGGGAGACGAACCTTAAAATCCGACAGGTAAAGTCACTTCGTGACTCACATTGCTACAGGAGGTCAGGCTGCAAATATATGACGCAAATACCCCCCCCCTCCCCGTGCACCTTGTGGAGAAAAAGTTGTTCAGCCATGAAATGACACATTAATTCCTAGTGGAAGCTACGAAAGTCTGTGCCCCCAATTATGAGGAAACCTTGTTAAGGAGGCTAGGAAGCTTAGAAAATGAGTTTCATCAGCTTAGTGTATCATGACTCATTTGTATCTTCCTAAGCTCTGCCCACGGTGCTCAGGACAGGGGCATCCTCATGAGGCTGAGTTGGGCAATGAGAAGAAAGCCACTCTCTGGGCTTGTGGAGTAGGAAGATCCAGGTGCCTCAGTTTGCGTTGGGGTTGGAGCTACTGTTCTAATAGTGGAGAGCCAAGCATTAGATACATTGTTTCCATACCCTGAACTATCCCACTACTCTTCCTCTAAGCTGCCTGGGGTCACCTGTGAAAATGGTTCACTACGGTCTTGACCAACCCCCTGCCCCCTAAACCCTATAAACTGTGCAGAACAAGAGGTGCAAATCTCTGGGTTCATTTTAAGGACATGTAGGAAACTGTCCAGGCCGATGGGGATCTGCGTATCTGAAAAGCTACAAAGTATCTGAAAGATGTTTAAAGAAGCAACATGCGACATTCAGTGTCACCATGGTGAGGCTGGTAGGTGTGTCCAGGCCAAGCAGAGGGCTCTGTGACTGAAAAGGAGGGCTGAGTTTCTGTAGCACATGCTGAAAAATGCCGAGAGTAACGGGCAACAGAAGTTTAGATGTAGATCCTCTGGTCACTGAAGATCTGCAGATGGGCCACCACCTTTCCAGTGCTCTGGGTTGAGTTAACCCTGCTTGAGCTGCCTGGCTGATTGTCACTGAAAAGGAACCATTGTTCCAAAGCCAGAAGAGGAAGCTGCATGGAAGGGAAAGACATCCTTAGGAGAGACTGATAGAACACAGCCTCATGGCACAGGGAGGGAATTGGGGGAGGAGAGAAATTACGATCAAATATATCGAATGAAATGTTTTTTTCAGGGACAAAAAAAAAAGAACCCTATGACACAGAAATAAATTCAGCACAAAACAGATACAAATTTAAAAAAAAAACTTACCACACAACTGTATTGTAAGATACAATACAATAGTCGTTTGTGAATAAAATACTGAGCATTGAAGACCCTTGTGGAATTTTATGTTGTTGTTGTTTTGTGAGTTTGTTTTTCTGCTTCACAAAACTGAATTTAATAATTCTGTCTGTGTGTCTTTCTATTTCCTATGGACTACATTTTTTTCTGTTTGAAGAAGCATTGATGAGGTTCAGCAAACTATTTTGGTCGGAAGTATTCAGAATAAAGAGTAACGAGTGGTGTATACTATAGAATGTTAAAGGATCCTCCAGTATTGCAGGATGGTGGTAGCATCGCTTTCTGTCATATGTTTCAGTGCCTCAACTATAATTTAAATATGGCTGTCTCTAGCAGGGGTTGGGGCTTCCTCTTCTGCACCGCTGAAATCTCGGTTTCTTTGTGTCAAACTGTGCAGTCTGGAGGGGTGCTATATGACTTATCACGTGATCGCATTGCAGATGGCTCATTATGTCCCTATGACTGACAGAATGCCGTGCTGTGTCTTAGACACGGATGGCAGTATTTGATCTCCCTTGGCTTATCGTTTCCGTTTCAGGGCTTGAGCCACACAGCCGACATGCAGACGCGGGAAGTACTGATGAAACTGTCGGGAAGGATAGAGTGTGAAGGGCCCAATCGCCACCTCTACGACTTCACTGGCAACTTGCACTTGGATGGGAAGAGGTCCAAATCTCCTTTTCTTAATTATTTCTCCTCCTCCTGTTCTCCTCCCCCACCTTCTTTTTAATGTGGCCAAGAATTCCTGGAGCTTTGAAAAATCCTAGTTTCGTAGTATTTAAAACAGTGCGATTTCTTCATGTTTAGCTCATTTCTGAGAGACTGAAACACTGTTTAAATTCATTTAAAACTTCCCTTACATCGAAGAAAAGAACAGATTTTTGAAAAGAAACAAGCCAAAGACCTCACATGGGGTTCATAGAAAGTGGCTTATTTTTTCTTGCTTGTGACTGACGAGGCCAAACAGACAGTTCAAATTGCATTCAGTGGTGCAGGAGAGCAGCGGAGAGGTACTGGCTGTGTATTCAGCGTCCCACACATGGGAGGCAGATGAGTAGTTTCTTGTTAGCTTTCTTCTACAAAGCACTGTTTCTATTTTACTAATTGATTTTGCCGTGTGGTGCATTGCAATGCTTGCACATGCTAGACAGACCCGCCCTTCTCCAGTGCGCCTCACTACAGCTCTGCTTGGCTTCAGAAAGCTGAATGAAACGGGGCTGTGAATATGGCACAGTCAGTGAAATGCCTATTATGCATGCGTGAGGGCCATAGTTTGGATTCCCAGCCTACATTAAAAGCAAATGCCAGTGCTGGGGGATTGGCTGGGAGATCAGCGCAGATTGGCTGATCCCTGAAGTCCATTGGCTAGCCAGCTTAATCAGTGACAGTGAGAGACTTCGTTTTGAAAATAAGGTGGAAAGATAAATGATGTTGACCTCTGGCTTCCACGTGTGTGTACACATGTGAACACGTAGATATCACACACACACACACACACACACACACACACACACACACACACACGTTGAGTGGTAGATTGGTTTTCAGAAATGAATAAGCTTGAGGCTTTTTAGCATTCCCTTTTTCAGTGTTCTTGCATAACAGGATTATGAGGCATAATCCTCTCTGATATTTTATAGAAAGAAAACCCTATCCTATGCTATAGTGAAGAATGGATAAAGCAGACATTTGGGGTGGGGGTAGGTAGATCAAGCAAAGCATAAATTCACAAATTTGACTTTGATTTATTGTAGGCTTATGTAAAGGAAAAGGCATGCTTATTTGACAGATTATCAAGAAATAGAAATATTTTTCTTCTTTTTAGCTCTGTTGCCCTCGGGCCTGACCAGATCTTACTGAGAGGTACCCAGCTCAGGAACACTCAGTGGGTCTTCGGCGTTGTTGTGTATACCGGACATGACACCAAACTCATGCAGGTAAAATGTTTCTGTGGAAATCTGTGCTGACCGTGCTTGCTTTACTGTTTGTTTCTCCCTTATTCTCCTTTCCTTTGAGGGTGGAAAATACAGACAAACAGGAAACTCACATTCATCCAAGAGTGTAAACTCAGGGGAAGAGTGACTCTTTTATTTCCTTATGTGACTCTTCTGGCCGTTGCCACCACATTCTTGGCCACAGACTCTCTGAATATAAGTGGTCTTGGTTGTCTAGATTCAAGAGGGACAGCTGACTCTAACTCTGTCTTCTGGGTGTAAGGAGAGATTAGTTACCCTTTAAGAATTTCTCTAATTTTCCTATGAATCCCACTAATTAGGATGTTATAGTAAACTCTTATTACATGAATTCTAGGTCATTTAAAATAAAGGAACAATGAACTAATGTTTATTCTTCATATACCAAAGAAAGAGAATTCATTTAAAAGAGTTTTTCTCTTTTTCACTGTTAATGCTTTTTCTTAAATTTTTGTTTATAGATTCATAGCCCATATTTGTATCATGACATATTTGGCCAGATGTCTTCTGAACTTGTCCACGAATCTCTTTATCATTTCTTACATTTCCTCTGATACATTTTGGCATTTGTTGTATGATGCTGTTCCTGGAGAGATGTGAAGAAACCTCTAGTCAGGGAAATGATAACCAACCGAAGCATAGATGCCACCAACGTCCAACTTGGTGGATCAGTGCATTTATTGGGGTCACCTGTGCAAACATGGGTAAGGGGTTACTTAGAAGAACAAAAATGACTCAAAGACAACTGCGTCACCAGAGCCCACCCAGCATGGGTGATGGATCACAGAATCCAGAAATCTAGAGCACATTGCGCAGCCTCCAGACAGCTTGGCAGGTCAGGGAATGTCCTTGGCAGGCAGCTTAGTTGACCTGTGCCTCTTCCAGGTCTCTGTTTCTTCCTGGCAGCTCAGTTGGTCTGAGCCTCTTCTCAGCAGCTCAATGGGCTCAAACTATCTTTCAATGCAGTCCTTACTGTTTGTAGATTCTTGGGAAGGGAGGGGCCTAGTGAATCTGATCAGTTTCAGGGACTTCCTGAAGTCTTTGGGTTGTTTACTTCCCAAGCTTGAGTAGCTTCCCTGCAGAATGAAATGTTTCACTTGAGCTTAGAAAAAAATTCCGGTGTCTTAATAAGCTTCCCTTTTAGATAAAAGTTTTTATATCAGAGGAAATTACTACATAGCAGTATTGTATTTTGTTAATTAAAACTATTAAAGAGAGTTGGGTCTTCTGCTATTTTATGTAATTTCCAAAGTCACATTTGGCTTATGTCTTGGTTGAAAAATGTTTATAGCCACTGTTCTTTGAGTCTTGTACTAAAACATCTGGGTACATTAGCAAAAAGGCTAAATCTTCACCTTTGGGGGCCAGGCAGGTAAAGGAGTGATATGGAAAATACAGAAAGTAGGGATGTACTTACTGTAAACTGTGCCATTATAAAGTTCTGTGGATATATAGGTAAGAGTCTCCCAGCCCAGGCTTAGAGTGCTGGTTAATCCAGTGAAGACATGGGAGGAATCTGGATTAGAGGGCTATGAGAGTTCCTGAAGCTGAAAATGACCCTTGGAGTTGAGTGACAGGTGGATGTGAGGGTACAGTACTCCCCTCTGAGTTTCGGAAGTTGAGGAGTTGTAGACTGGGAGACCTGTGGCTGATCCACGTGGCTGATCCACGGCAGTGGGAGCTCGAGGAAGCTCAAGGGGCAGTCCAACAGTGCCAGGTCCCTTGACGCTGAGTAGAAAGGGACTCAGAGCTGCGATTGTGATGACAGACCGAAAATGGGGCTGGAGCAGAGAAGAATTCCATGAGCCAGTTTCTCAGGTCTTCAGTGTTGGCCAGATTCAGGGAGGTGACCTTCTGGGGGAAGGGAAGAAGGTCTACATCCAATTGGTGTGGACTTAGAAGAACAAAGACTTAAGTAGTACTCCAGGGTCTTAACTCCAGGAGAGCTACCTCTGGTGCCAGTGGGTCCTGACTGAGGCACCCTCTTTTGGCAGAGGTACCTGATTTGGGGTGTCACATGTCCTTAGCTGGGTAAGAGGAGTGGCAGGAGGAGAGATCCAGAAGCATGGAGAAGACACACAGCATTTTGGGTGTAACAGGAGGCCTCCAGGCTTAGAAAAATACTCATAGAAGGTGTGTTGGAGGGTCACTCATAGCAAGTAGAAACATGACTGGTTGACGGCCTCCACGGCAGCCCTGGAGTGAATGAAAATCGTTCAGCAGACCTGCGTTCCTGCTCAGCTGTCATTCATTCACAGGATTAGAATACTTAAAGTTTATTGTCTCTGAGCAGTCTGCGTAGAAAGACCATCTTGATGGATGGTTTCACGCTCCGCCACCTCTTCAGCAGCCAGTTACCAGTAGCCACAGCAAACCCTTGGTGCTATGCTCCCCACAGCTTCTGTATTTTCGTAATAAGCAGTAAAGAGGCCGTGTGTGGGTAGCTCAGATTTGGGTAGAGTACCAAGGCTAGGGTTTGGATCATGCTTATTAAAAGTTCAAGCTTTCTCCAAGTTCCCTTGTACCCTGGGTGATTTTTTCAGGGTATAATATTCTTCTTCTAGATCACATATTAATATTACAGCTTTGGAGCTCAAGCCAAATATAATTTGTATCAAAACATCCCCATCATGGCTTCGGTGGGCAGGATGAGTCCATGCCATTTGCACACTTTGTGTGTGAGGGGCACTTTCCCTGCCCTCTGTGTGACAGACCTTGGCAAGACTTACTCCTGTTGACATACAGAGAGTGATGGAAAACCCCAGAAACATCTGTGCTAGACTTGCTGTGCCTTTAGGGCTGAACCAACACGAACAATGAAATTTCAAAAGGAATATAAAATAACACAACAGCTGGAAGCCATTCTGTTCGTGCAATAACATTGTGTCTACACTTGTGTTTTTGATGGCTGAGGGGAAGTTGAATGGCTTTGGGGTTCTGAAGCTTCCACTGTGTACCTTTTACCCTTTAGAGCTCCCTCAGTTCATGCTTAGTATAGTTATACACAGCAAACACTCAGATCATTTCTGTTGGTTGACTTAATGGGAAAGAGTTAATCAATAATTTTAGGAAACATTGATGATAACAAGGCATACATGGTTTTGTGATTCACATATATATATATATGATATATATATATATATATATATATATATATATATATATATATATGGATTCACTTATTCCTTGGTATGAAGAAGGTACATCCACTACTTGAAATATTTATTTTTACTTAATATGTATAGGTGTTTTGCTTGCATGAATTTCTGTGCACCATGTCTGTTCAGTGTTTGCAGAGGCCAGAAGAGAGAAGAGGGTGTCAAATCCCCTGGAACTGGAGTTAGAGATGGTTGTGGGCCACTATGTGGGTGCTGGGAATTAAACCCAGGTCTTCTGCAAGATCAACCAGTGCTCTTAACCACTGAGCCATCTCTCTAGCCCCAGTCCTGCTATTTTAAAAACAGAGCAACTAAAGCACAGTGTCAGACTAACCCCAGCTCAGCTTACAAATCCAGAAGGAGTGAGGACTGAGCTGAAATCTAGGTTGACACACTCCAGACATATTCTGACTAGCATTCTGGTGTTTGCTTTCTTGGGAGGAATAAGATGCATACAATTCAGGTCAGATTCCAGCATTTGCAAAATCTTGCGGTTGGACCCATTTTTATTGTAGTCCAAGATATCAAAGTGATAGTGTCCTTTAAGAATTTTATAAAAAGAACTTATTGTTCTAATAGGAATTGAGCATTAAAAACTCATTATTGCAAGTGGAAATGTTTTGGAAAAGGGAGTGAGTGTGCCAAGCTTGGCTTTCCATTTTGGGCATGTGTTGAAGCCTGAAGTTTTAGGTTGTTTCCTTGTGTTGGATGAAAAGTCTGTTTTCCTAACCCTGGAGACTGGTTGGATTTCAACAACTTCAGCTAACTGATAGGCTCACAGAAATGCCAGCTTTTGTCATTTTTTTCTTTTCTGAAAATTTAATGACTCTTAATTAAACACAATAGGGTTTCAACATGAAGCTAGATGTGGGTGTGCCATCCCGGGAGCCTCCATATGGAGTTTGACTAAGATGGCCTTTGCTAGCAAACCTCCATCTTGACCCTGGAGGACTTTTCTTCAAAGTCTATAAAAGACAACTCAGTAAACTAACAGAGGAGGACAAAACTAAATGGAGGATACCTAAAAGACTGTCTAAAACTCCTAATGTGACAGTTCTCTAACTTGCCTACCTTCAGTGACATCCATAGTGCTCACACTAGACAGAATTTCAGGGTCTACAGTGGAATTCAGAAAGATATGGGTGATGGCTGTGATGTGAGAGTCACTGTGTACTAGACTGAGCTCATCTAGGAAGTCAGGCTAATCTACTCATGTCAGAGTCCCAAGTCACCTCTGTGAAGTCCTTCGTTGGGGCCCATCATTGGCCCATCATACCAATCTTTGGGGGTTTCTTTTATAGAAGGCTTCAGGTATATAACTATCCTGTTGATACTACACGATGGACTTTTCCACTACTGAGAGGTTGCAGTCTCACATCCACTACATGTGAGATGCAGTGAACCTTGAGTACAGCTTCCCTGAACATCTTGGTACCCAGGTCCTAACACAGGCCTCAGCTCCTCTGTCTGCCTTCTGGTCTACCTTCACCCAACTCAAGGTGGTCCTGCCTTAAGGAGCTTATTTTTTACACCTCTCCAAGCTAACCTTTCATTCATTTGCTTTGATACCTACCCATGTTTTCTCTTGCTTTATTGATGCATTTGTATTTGTGTCTCTTTCTTTTTTATTCCTTCTTACTAGAAAGAACATTTACACTTTAAAAATCTCTCATACTTATCACAGAGCTGAATTATTGCTTTGGAGGTTCTCCTTAGATTTTTATGGTGAAGAATTATCAGTATATTGGTTTCTTTTAGACCATACTTAGATTATCTAGAGCCTTCTGTGTCTATGAAAGTAGCTGATGTAATGCTAAGGTGTAAATAAAAGTATGGACTAGATCTTGCAGAGTTGGAGTGTTGTCTTAGTCAATGATCTATTGCTATGAAGAGACATCATGACCAAGGCAACTACTTTAAGAGAGTGCATTTAATTGGGGGCTTGCTTACAGTTTCTAAGGCTTAGTTCATTATCATCATGGCAGCATGCACGCAGATGCTGGAGCAGTAGCTGAGAACTACATCCTGGTCAGTAGACAGAGAGAGACTCTGGTCTTGGCATGGGCTTTTGAAACCTCTAAATTCATACCCAGTGACACACTTCCTCCAACAAGGCCACACCTCTTAATCCTTCTAATCCTTTCAAATAGTGCTACTCCCTGGTGACTAAGCATTCAAATATATAAGCCATTTTTATTCAAACCACCACAGGTGAGTCCTTTAAACTGGAGAATGTCTTTTAAAACTGGGCTGTTTACTCAGGAGTATGATGCACTTTTTAATTCCATCATTAATTTGGAAAAGAAACAGTCTTTTTCATTTCCATCACTGCATGTGATTGTCTTACTCAGTGTCTCCTTACCCTTGCCCAAGCCTGTTCTGTGATGGTTACTGCCTTTCAATACTGGTTTACAGAATTCAACAAAAGCACCTCTCAAGAGGTCCAACGTCGAGAAGGTAACCAACGTGCAGATCCTGGTGCTGTTTGGCATCCTCTTGGTCATGGCACTGGTGAGCTCGGTGGGAGCCCTGTACTGGAACGGGTCTCATGGTGGAAAGAGCTGGTACATCAAGAAGATGGGTGAGTGCTGGGGTGGCTGCTGCTCACTTCTGTGGGACAAACCTCTTGGAAGGTCCTTCCATACAGGGTCTATGGGTGGTAGCCATGCCCTCCCTCTGTTCCCATGGCTACCCTGCCTATGCCAGGCCTTCTTGGAGAGAGGACAGATTAGGAATCATGAGATGAAGTGAGGATGGGTGTATCTGGGAACTGTTCTATGCTCTAATGATTGTTTCTCAGCTAATTTTCAAGACACTTTCTCATGGTTGCTCTAGGGATGACAACATGAGAAACCACTTGGATTATTACTAACTTAACTCACAAACATCAGACCAGCTCATCTCCAGGCTCCCCCCAACCCCTGCTAGTGCTATTATTGTCATATATACACTGTGTGTAGGTACTGTCAACCTAACAACATGTTATAATCAGTGCTTTGTATAATCTAGGATATCTTAAAGAGCTAAAAGGGAAAAAAGATACATGCTTATTAACTTGTTTCTTTTAACCTACTAGTTCGCCATTTCTGGAAGTCTCTGTGGACGAATTAGTAGCTGGTATCATCCCCTTGCTTCATCCATCTCACTGTCTTCTTACTGTTTGTGCTGGCATCTAGATTGTCCATAGACAAGGTCTTCTGTGCTGACCAGGATGAACTCTTAGCGGAACTTCCCTGGCTACCCTTTCCCATGAATAGCTCTGCTAAATTTCAAGCCAGTTTTCTGTTTTTCCTTACTGTATATGGGGACACTTGCCTTCCCTGACCATCAGCCGCTGAGATCTATAGTTTTTGATTGGACATTGCATATTGCATTTTTTCCATACTTCATTCAAATGACATGAGTTACCTAGGTGTTCCTGTCCTGTCCTGCCCTAGAGTAGAATGTCTGCATCTGGGGAGGTAGGTAATGGTAGTCAACCTGATAACCACTGCCACCCACTAGAGCAGAACTAGCATGACAAGAGTCTGTGAGTGGAATAATAGTCCAAGGGGCCAACTGTTCTTACAAGAGTTGGCAGATTTCCTTAATACATGCATTTGATCCATTTCTTGGGACTTAACTTGATTTTGATGATTCTGTCTTGTTTTGCTGCTTGGTGGGGCCTAGGGAATAGAGGGAAGATCTGCCATTCTCTGACCTCAGCAAAAATAATAGAATTTAGTGGCAAAAATTTCATGATAAGTCTTAAAACTTTAGAGTATTGCCTTGGCATCATGGTTATTGACATTTCTCAATTATTTTTAAATGGATTTAGACATGATTTTACTCTTCCAATTTCTTTAATCATAAAACTCTCAGGTTTTGAAATGCAAGAAAACTCATGTTACCCATTTTTGCTTGTTTGTTTTTAAACAAGGTCTCATGAGGTAAAGGCTGGCCTTGAACCCAGTCTGTAGCAGAAGCTGGCCTCAGATTCCTGGTGCTCCTGCCTTCAAATGCTGGGATTACAGGCTTGAGCTCCTGTGCCAGTTGCTCCTTTATGAACACGGTCACATGGCTGTGGTTTGAGTTGTAGTTGATCACAACACTTGGTGTTGGCTTTGGTTATGTGGCTTGCTTCAGACGTGAAGCCTGGTTCATCTGAATGCAGTTTTATATTGTGATCTGAGTAAACATGTGGCGTCACCACAGCTTTGGGGAAACTGGTACTTGAGCGGTTCAGACCATGCTAAGCTCCAGTGCCAACTGTGTGGGGTCAGGGAACACAGTCCATATGCGCACCTGCTCGGAGAAGTCAGGTTACATTCCACTGCCCCTGTTGGTGCTTGGATTTCACTTCCTATCAAGCTTGGTCCTGCCTTAACCTCCTTTTCATTGGTTTTATTAGGCTGAACATTTTACATAGTGGTAGATACTTTCTTTTCTTCTTTTATGGACTTGTTTGGTCAAGCCCAGACATTCTTGGGGTTCTGAGGCTTTAGAGGTAGGCTTTCTTTGCATAGTCGCTGCTCTTTGACGTCATATGTGGTCATGTCATGTTATAAAGCAGTTTTGGTTTGTATTTAAAACGTCACAAAGTTTTAATTTCTTAATAAATTTTATTGGCAGATCAGTTTTATTCCTAAACAAATGCCATACTCTGGGGACACTTGAGTTATTGGGACTTATGGATCCTGTTTAGCAACTCCTTGATTGTCTAAGAGAAGCAGATAGTAAAGTAGTCTGCCATGGAGAAGGGGCGCCAGCTGGAGAGTGGAAGGCTTGGGGGCGGGTAGAAAATGAAAGGTTGGGGGATGTCAGCTGACCAGTCAGTGCTTGCTTCTCTTCCTCATTCCCATCACCCCTCCCAGGGTTCATCATCTGTACCATGCATGTGTCAAGCCTTCCCACCGGAAGACTCAATGTGTGTGGCTTGGAGCCATTACAAATTCCTGATTCCCAGGCATAGTCCTCTGCTTGCCTCCTCCACAACCTCCTCTCTTGGTTCCTGCCATGTTGCCTGACCACCCCTGTAATAGCCACATCCTCCTTTGAGGCCACAGAGGACATTCCCTTCCCAGGGGAGGGCTGTCTCTGCTCCCTCCTCTGCCTCCTTCCCCAACCTCTAAAGAGAAGCCAGCACTACCCACAGGGACTGAATCCCAACAGTCTTTGGAGTTTGCACTGGCACAGTAACTCCTCAGTCTCAAGACAGGCACATAGGCTTTGGTTGGGAGCATCTTTTAGGGGAAAAAAAGTCTAGAATAGCAAAATGGAAAGAAATGAAATGGAGACTTCCACTAAAGCTGTATGGATTGTCTTGGTTTTTGTCTGTAGACACGAGCTCAGATAATTTTGGCTACAACTTGCTGACATTTATCATCTTGTACAACAATCTGATCCCCATCAGTCTGCTGGTGACGCTTGAGGTTGTGAAGTACACGCAAGCTCTCTTCATCAACTGGGTGAGTTTCCAAGCAGAGTGTGAAACATGAGCTCCTGGAGGGGTGCCAGCCTCTGCTTTCTAGTACTCTGCACAAGCCTTTGCCATTTCATTGAGTCCCAGAAAGGAAATCGTAGAGGCTGTTTATTATTAGGTCATGGGGCTAAGCCAGCCAAACTGATGACTGGCAAGCAATGCCATAACCATAGTGGGGAAGGTGGGGGAAGGGTGCCAGTGGGTGCTTGTCATCTGGCCACCAGGGCCGTGCTTCTCAAGTCCCCTTTATGCTAAGGAAAAGGCTTCTCATGTGTACTCACCAGAGTGTCCATTCTGCACGGGTTTCATCATGACATTCACCCTGGATGGATTGTAGGGGCTGAGGTGGGTTTTTTTTAAGGGACTGTCATGACCGTGGCCATTAAACACTGGGCCTTGTCACTTTTTTTTTTCAAACCAGGCACCTACATGTGTGTTTTTGATTTTCAAACAAGCCTGTGAATGAGGCATTGACCCAGCTCACAGCCAGGGCATGAGATGATTGTCTTGAACCCAAACCTAAATACCATGGGTCATACTGGGGCCCAGGGTTTCTGCATCCTGATTGCAGCTTCATTCCAGCCAAGTTAACAGTTAGCATTTGGATGACGGTGGAAGGATTTGAAGTGGCCAGAGTCTGGGTTAATCTGAATGAACTATTAGAATTACATGTTTTTCTGAAGGCTTCCTTCTTTATTCCCTCCTTCCCCATTTCCCCTTTCAGGACACAGATATGTATTATATTGAAAATGACACTCCTGCTATGGCCAGGACATCAAACCTTAATGAAGAGCTCGGGCAGGTGAGAGCCTCTCTGGGGACTTTGGGGACAGTGCTATAAGCAGGAAGCCAGTGTTAGCAGAGGAACCCTGGGGGGGGATTTTGCACAAATAGTTACCCATGACTGTGTTTGTGACATCTGGTTTGCAAGGTGGCAGTGAATGCAATTGTCACTTGGTTTTGGAGACATAAATTTATCATTTTGTCGAAAACATATCTGGGGAAAAATTATAGAACATTGCACAAAAATATAATGTTATTTTGGATCCTTTTAAATGTGTTTCTCAGAACAGATGACCAGGAAAACAGGGTAGGAGATTGACTACTGGGCTGCTCCACAAGCATGTGGGGCCATATGAAGGACAGGTATCCTTGACATGGTTCAGAAAGTCGGTGACTTCTGTGTCTTCATCCTGATTTCTGCTTGTTCCTCCTGACTTTCATGTTGCATGATGTCTGCCTCTTCCATTGAATTACTGCAACCTATAACCTTTTTTTGGAATGTATAATACTTATTCTTAACCTAAAGTAATTAAAAACTATGATTTTTATTTTATACACTTTGAACTTCCCAGCAGTCCAGTTGGGGGGTGGTGATGTGCTGCTTTAGAAGGAAGAAAATGATGAGTTCACTTTGGGAAAGCTGGTTGATGAATGACAGGTTAGGGCTGCAGATTGCCCATCCAAATCTGGCCTTTGTTTCCCTGGAACACCTGCCGCACGGCCCTCTGGGAAGATGTCAGCCTGACTTCTCATTCATTTGAGGGCCAGGAGGAGGGTCAGGTGTCCCCCCCCCCCCCAGCTTAAGGACAGAGTCAGTTCTGCATTTGTGCTGGAACATTTTTTAGTTCATTGCAAGAAAGCTGAAGCTCAAATTTGTCTGTCAAGTTTTGTAATAAAATATAATTCTATAACCACATTTTCAGGTGATTCTATTCCTTTGATATTTTCCAAATCTAGTTAGAGTGAAGAGCAATTTTTTTTCTATTTTTTAAATAGAAAATTTAGAATTCACAGGCGTCCTCAAGTTTATTTGGTGTAGCAAGATGGATTGTCATTTAGAGAGAATACTCTGGCACCAAGCACAAATCTTCCTCAGTGAGGCCCGTGTCCCTATCCCCTCCACCCTGTTCACCTGCAGTACTCATGATGAAGAGCAGAATCCAGTGCCAAATATCTATTATCTATCTGTCTGTCTGTCTGTCTGTCTATTTATTTACCTATCCACCCATATCATCTATTCATCCATCCATCCATCCATCCATCCATCCATCCATCCATCCATCATCTGTCATCAGTCTGTCTGTCTGTATGTCTATCATCTACCCGCATTCTTTCTTTCTACAATGACATTGTCATTGATAAAATTCTACTCCTATAACAATCCATGAGTTCTTGGTGCACAGCAGATGACGTTTGCCTCTTTGAATCCTTCCCAGTACTTCCAGGCAACAGTAGCGTCTCTCTGCTCTATTCTCTTAAGCATTCTTTCCAAACACACACACAGTGAAATGACAATGTGATTAGTTTTCCAGTGTCTGTGTCCACCTGGAGCAGCAGGCTTGAGCCCTGTGTAGTCAGCCAACTGCAGGTCAAAAATCGGATTGTGCCGATGGTGGTTGCACCTGTACCAAATATACACAGAAGAGTCTTGTCACTGTTCCCCAGCTAGGACAGTATGGCGTTTCTATTGTCTAAGGTGCCACACACCATCTAAGATTACACACCAGAGGTTGTATGTAGGTTTTATACAAACACTGTACCATTTTATGTAGTGGATTAGAGCATCTGAGAATTTTGGTACCCACAGGGGTTCTTAAAACTAACCCTGTGGATGTTTAGTGACAACTGTATACGTAGCCTTTGGTTACCTTTGTCAGTTCACAGGGCTAAGTATATGATTGTTCTCATGTGCCACTGAATTGACCTAGCAAGATGGAAAAGCCCCCAGGATGAAGTACCCTGTCCTGGCCAGGCATGGGGTGGCTTGCCTAAGGAGAAGTTAATATTCAAGAGGGAGAGGGATCACAAATTCTACAGTTCTTTATAAGATTTTCCTTTCTACTATGTTGGCAAACTTTTAATTCTTTTTAAAAAGAGACAGAAGAGCTAATTCTGCTGTGCTTCTGGTGTTCCTAGACTTACTCTGTGAAACATAAAATTTCTTATTAATTGAAAACAATGGAAACATTAATTATCCCATTAATCAATATGGTCAACATGCATACATGTTTTAAAATATCATATATAATTATAAACATATGTAACTATTATTTTTCAATAAGTTTCTGTGTGAAGGGCGTGGAAAAGCTGCCTGCCCTGATTTGATCATTATGTAATATTTTTTTTTTTTTTTTTTTTTGGTTTTTCGAGACAGGGTTTCTCTGTGTAGCTTTGCGCCTTTCCTGGGACTCACTTGGTAGCCCAGGCTGGCCTCGAACTCACAGAGATCCGCCTGGCTCTGCCTCCCGAGTGCTGGGATTAAAGGCGTGCGCCACCACCGCCCGGCTCATTATGTAATATTTCTTTAAAAAATTAGTTTAATTAAAATATAGTTACATTACTTCCCCTTTCCCTTTCCTTCTTCAAATCCCTCCCCTCTCTAGCTCCTCCCATTACCTTCTCAAATCAATTCCATCTCAAATTGATGGTCTCTTTTTCTTCGATCACTATTGTTCCATATAGATTTATATAAATGCTTAAACATACAACTACAACTGACTGAGTCCATTTAGTGTTACTGTGTATATATGATTATGAATGACCACTTGGTATTAGACAACCAATTAGGAGGCTCATCCCTGGGAAAAACTAGTGTTCTCTCAGAAGGTGTGATGGCTAGTTTTTTGTCAACTTGACACAAGCTAGAGTTATTTTGGAAGAGGGGACAACCACTGAGAAAAATGCTACCTACCATCAGATTGGCAAGGTGTTGGTGCATTTCCTTGATTGATGATAAATGGGGGAAGGCCCAGTTCACTGTGGGCCATGCTACCCTTGGGCTGGTGAGAGAGCCCTGGAGAGCAAGCCAGTAAACAGCGCCCCTCTATGGCCTCTGCATCAGCTCCTACCTCCAGCTTCCTGTTCTGAGTTCCTGCCCTGACTTCCTTCAGTGATGGAGTGGGACCCAAGAGTTGGAAGGTGAAATAAACTGCCTCCTCTCCCAGTTGCTTTTGGCCATCATGTTTTAACACAGCAATAGAAGCCCCAGACAGCAGTCATTAGTTAGCTGTTGTTCTTTGTCTAGGAGTGCAGTCTGAGGAGATTTTCTCTTTCCGTGTTAGCTTTCTGTGGGTGTGGTCTTTGTTTAGGCCTTGCTTAGCAGCCATGTTGTTGAGGTACTGTGGGTGGGTGTAGCTTCCCTGTCATTTCTAGGAGACATACTCTCACAGCAGACTTCTTGTTTCTCTGGTTTTTCCAGTCTTTTCCCCACCTCTCTCTCAATGATCCCAGAGCCTTAGGAGTAGGAGTTGTGGTGTAGATACATCCCTTAGGGCTGGGCTCCCCTTATGATCTCTGCCTTTTGACCAATTGTGGCTTTCTGTGGGGACCTCTGTCTGCTGCAAAGAGCAGCTTCTTTGATGAGGGGTGAGAGCTGCACTTAACTTCAAGTATAAGGATAGGTGTTTAGAATTTAGTCAGGATATGCTGATTGGGCCAGGCATGGTGGCACATGTCTTTAATTTTAGCACTTGGGTGGCAGGAGCAGGCAGATATGTTAGTTCAAGGCCAAAAAAGCATGTTCCAGGCCAGCCATAGCTACACAGTGAGACTGAAAAAAAAAAAAGCCAGGAGCTATGCTGGTCTGGTTGTAGTAGGGTCTCTTCTAAAATCTGTGACCTCACTACCCTGGGTAGTTTGATAGGTACCATCCTGTTGAGTGGGCCTTAAGTTCAATTAGACAGCTGTTGGTTACTGCCAAATTATGTGTACCATTATTACACTTTTAGGAATATCTTGCCATGCTGGCCATTGTTAATCTAGTCAGGGGGTGGACTCTTAAAAAGAATTACATCTTCTGTGAGAACATGGAGGAACTTGGGAGGATGAAATCTATCACCAAAATGCCGACTAACAGGACATGTGATGATGCTTATAGACCGGAAGTTCTCAACCTTTGGACTGTAACCCCTTTGGGGAGTAGAACGGCCCTTTCACAGGGGTCACATATCAGATATATCAGAATATCAGATATTTATATTACAGTTTGTAACAGTAGCAAAATCACAGTTAGGAAGTAGCCACAAAAATAATTTTATAGTTGGGGGTCACCACAACATAAGGAACTGTATTAAAGGGTTGTACCATTAGGAAGGTTGAGAACCACTGTTATTCACAGTGGCCAGGGGAGTTATGGAAATTTCTTTTATTCTTTATTACCCAAGTTATAGAATTGGTAGTAGAAAAAGTTTTGTGAATGGTCTGTGAATTAAAGTGCATCATTTATGATTTGTTTACTTTCATGGGTTTGCATTTAAATTTCATTCAGATTTACAGACATAGTAGACAACTTCATTTTTTGATCCTTGCATCTTATTACACCCATTTTTTTAAAAAGTTACTTTATTTAATGTGTATTTAATTTTGAGTGTGTGTATATCTGTGTACCACGCAATACCCAGTGCTTTTGGAAGCCAGAAGAAGGCATTGGATCCCCTGGAAGTGGAGTTACAGATGGTTGTGGCCTACCCTGTGGGTGCTGGGAATGGAATCTGGGTCCTCTAGAAGAGCAGCCTGTCTCTTAACCTCTGAACCATCTCTCCAGCCCCTTATTACACTCTTGATATGCATTTTGTTCATTCTTGACTTAGGTAAAATACCTGTTTTCTGACAAGACCGGAACTCTTACGTGCAATATCATGAACTTCAAGAAGTGTAGCATTGCTGGCGTAACCTATGGGTGAGCATGTTTATCGCTTACAGGAAATCTCATTTCTAGCCTCCCAATGAAGTGTAGTTTTTGCTGTTTTGTCAAGTGTTGTGAGGGATTTGGATGTGTAGTTGCTATTAAATATGTGTAAAACTTAATGGATTCCCCGGGGACTTGTTTCTTCCACTTTTCTGAGAGGTCCTATTGAACCTGTGGATTTGTATGTGTCCTCTAACAACTGGCCTTTTCTTCTGACTACCTGGTTCTCTCCTGCCAGCCACTTCCCAGAACTAGCCAGAGAGCCATCCTCAGATGACTTCTGGTAAGTTGAGTCCAGCTTGTCTTCCTTCCTTCCTTTCTTAGTGGGGATGCATCAGGACATTTTAGACCTAAATATAAGTTGAATGTGTTAGTTTGAAAAAGAACCAGGATAAGGTTTAAATGCAGATGGGATTTAAATCCACACCACAGAGCTTCTGACATCAACAGCATGCTCTTTGTCTTGTCCTTTCATTTCCAGCCACCTGCAGCTTTTTTTGCTTATTTTCTTCAAATTCCTGTATTTCAAAAATAATGCTTTTATACTAATTAAAAATTATAGATACTGTAGGACTTTATCTCTGGGGAAGATTTAGCTTCCTCTGCCCTGGTGTGGCCAGCCCATTTCCCCCAGCCCATCTGCCCCAGCCCATCCCCCACCCTCAGCTCATTCCCCCCACAGGCCATTTTATCAGCCCATCTCCCCAGGCCATCATCCTTTAGCCCACCTTCCCCAGGCCATTCCCCCCCCCCAGCACATCTCCCACAGGCTATCTTACCAGTCTATTCCCCCAGGCCATCTTCTGCCCCATCTCCAGTCCATTCCCCCAGGCCATCTTCCCTGCCCCCCCCAAGTCCATTCCCCCAGGCCATCTTCCCTGCCCCCCCCAAGTCCATTCCCCCAGGCTATCTTCCCTGCCCCCCCAGTCCATTCCCCCAGGCTATCTTCCCTGCCCCCCAGTCCATTCCCACAGGCATCTTCCCTGACCCCCCAGTCCATCATCCCCCCCCCAGTCCATTCCCACAGGCTATCTTACCAGCACTTGGAAGTGCTTATCACTTTCTGCATTTTCTGCATTTCTTCAGCATATGAACTTTTAACTGCAACCCTTGGGTAGGCTGTTTTTCTTCATTATGTTGGTTGGTTAATTGACTTTCTTTTGGGCCACTTCTGTCTATAAATTCCCCTTATTAGTATTTCGGAAGTGTCCTTGTATTATTTCTGTAGTAACTGTCTCCCCTCCTGTCTCTCTGTCACCTCTTATTAGGCAAACAGTCAGTCTTTGAGTCGGTCTTCTGATTTTGTTTTCTAGCTTGCCTCCTTTCCGTGTGTTTTTCTCATTCATCTTTAACCTTTCATCCTCCTTGATTTTTATACATGCTTACTTCCAGTTTTCAGAGCATGCTCCAATCCTTGCTCTTGTTTGCCCATTTCCTCTGCTCTGTCTCCTGTGCCCAACACCTGCCTCCAGATTTTCTTCACAAACTTGGTGACCACTGGCTGTGTGCTCATATTAAAATTTTTTACTCTTTGTTTTTCTTTTGTGTGCGAGTGTTTTGCCTGTATGTGTGTCTGTGCACCATGTGCATGCAGTGCCCACAGAGGCCAGAAGAGGGTGCTCCATCACCTAGGACTGACAGACATTTGTGAGCCACCATGTGGGTACTGGAAATAGAACCTGGGCCCTCTGGAAGAGCAGGCAGTGACTTTAACCAGTGAGCCATCTGTCCAGAAAGCATTTTTTCATTGTGGCAAACATAGTAAATATAAAACTAAGCCCTTTTAAGACCAGTTAAAAGAGGAATTTTGATTTCACAGTAAAATCACAAAAGCACAGAGATTTCCCATAATATTCCCACTTTACCCAATGGCCTCGGTGATGAAAGCCTTGCCCAACTCCATGACCTCCCTGATGAAGGGTTCCCCACCACAGGGCATTCAGTACAATCCAGGAACCTATACTAACAACTCATGATCACCCACAGTCTACATCTGACATCAAGGTCACTCAATGCTATATATCCTGTGAGTATGGACACATGTATACTAATATATATCACCACAGTATCATGAGTGATGTTTCCATTGCCACCAAAGCCCTTGCTCTGCCTATCCACCCCGTCGTAGACACCCCACCCTTGGTAGCCACTGGGATTTTTTTCTCTATATAGTTTTGTCTTCTCTATAAAGTCAGAATTGGAATCCGATAGCATGCCACCTGCTTAACTTGACTTCTTTCACTTAGTAATCTGCATTTAATGTCCCTTTATGGCCTTTCCTGGTTCAGCAGCTTCATCTTTTGAGCACTGAGTAATAATCTAGGTTTGGGACTACTCTGTTTTGACCCCTCTAAAGGATGAACCTTATATTTCTTTCTGATTGTGTTGACTATTTACATGTGATGAGGGAGGGCTCTTACAGGTTCAGTGTTCATCATGTGGGCTTGAAGTCTGTCTTGTCTCCTGCTTTCCCTATGTTTCACAGGTACCTCATGCCCTCACAGGTACCTGACATCCACCACAGGTGCCTCATGCCCCTCACAGGTACCTGATATCCATCACAGGTACCTCATGCCCCTCACAGGTACCTGATATCCATCACAGGTACCTCGTACTCCTCACAGGTACCTCATGCCCCTCAGAGGTACCTGATATCCATCACAGGTGTCTCATACCTTTCACATCGCTCATAGCTACCTGACATGCTTCACAGGTATTTTACACCCTTCACGTAGTACCATTCTTCAGCCTTCCTAGTGTTCTGTGGGGGTATCAGCTGGCATTCCATATGCCCCCTTCCCACAAGCCAATAGTTGTTTTATACGCTGTATTAATCTCTGATATCCATTCACAGTTGAGACTGGCATTGACTTGCCCTTTCTTCTTCCACTGTTGTAGTTTTGAAGAATGGGTTTCAGTGGGAGCTAGTGGAGGTAAAGGAGTGTGTGCAGTGCTCACGCTTGCTCCTGTCTGACAGCCCACGGCTGCCATATCCACTTCCCTTTTTTCTAATTGTTTGCTGCCTTCTCCTCTCCACATGCACTCTGGCCACAAATGATGAAGCATGGTGCAGTCCTCTCTCTCTCTCTCTCTCTCTCTCTCTCTCTCTCTCTCTCTCTCTCTGTCTGCCTGGTAGTTATTTAAAAACCGACTCTCACAACAGTCATAGTGTTGACGCATAGCTTATGATTCTCTCCCTTATAAATCTGTTGATATTTATAAGGACTTGTAACACAGTTTGTTTATAGCAAAGTTTAGGGATTTAAGGTATCTTAAAGCTTAACATAATATTCAGTATTCCAGATCCTTAAACGTTGAAATGTAAGACTATGGACTTTTTTATTCATGGTTCTGAGGGCAGATTCTCTCTAGATGTGAGCGATTTTGACTTTTAAATTGAATGAATGACTTTCGTTCTTTCTTCCAGCCGGATGACTTCTTGCCCCAGTGACTCATGCGACTTTAATGATCCCAGGCTGTTAAAGAACATTGAGGATCAACATGTGAGTGTGCCACTTACCTCTAGGACAAAGAGTGGCTTGCAGTTCACTATTTTGATGTGACCTAGGCTGGCTTGATCTTCCACAAGTCTTGTGCAGTTAATCACAGCTGCAGTGAGTTCATGAGTGAAACAGCCTTGTCATATCCAGAAGACAGAATTTCTCACACCTAACGATGACTCCTTTAAAGCAGGGCATTCACAACCGTTATTTCTCAGCATTTTGTCCAGTTGCAAGTCTCTTCACTAACGGCTGTCCACTGCAAAAAGAAGGCTCTCTGACCAAGGTAGAGGGCAGCTTATGTCTTTGTTATAAATAACATTACTCAGAAGGCAGTTTGACAACATGAGCATTCAACAAAACAGCAATAGAAGGTTTCACCCTAGGACCCATGCACTCTCCAGCCAAGGGCTTGTCACCAGGCTTGTAGTATCAGACATGAGCTTTCTTCCATGGAGCATCCCTCAAATCCAGTGTCACATTGAAGACATGGGCATAAAAATAAGCTCAGAGTTCTCAGCTGATTATTGCCTCCACTTGTTTTTGAAATGAGGGACTGCCTTTCAGGCAGGCATAGAGAGATCTCCTCTGGCCCGCCACTTAAGGCTTCCAAGCCTCTTAGCCAATGACCCACTGCAGAAACTTGCTTAACTCCCCTTGGAGACCAGGCACCGGTGTGGGGCAGCGAAGGGTGATAGGAGATGTGAGAAGTCACCAGGTAGTGTGAGTCTACTAGGCACCTGCAACCATCTGGTTCAGACCACTGGTCTTTAGTTAGTACCCAAGCAGGGGATAACCACCTCTCTTGGAACAGCACTATCAGTAGAGACCATGATCCTAACAACTCAGCCCTGGGATTGAGCTTCTCCTGAGCCACCTGTGGCTTCCCTAACAAGACATACTGCTTGCACATCAGAAAGGGGATGTTTGCACCCTTCCCTTGTCTTTGAAGTCAGTTTTGGGGTGTTAGCTCTGTGGATAGGAGAACTGTTTAGTGGGAGGAAAGGAGGCAAAACAAGAGTCAGAAACCATTGTATGTCTGCTGTGCTGATTAGTTTTGTGTGTGTGTGTGTGTGTGTGTGTGTGTGTGTGTGTGTGTGTGTGAGAGAGAGAGAGAGAGAGAGAGAGAGAGAGAGAGAGAGAGAGAGAGAGAGAGAGAGAGAGAGAGAGAACTTGACACAAGCTGGAGTAATGTGAGGGGAAGAAGCTTCACTCGAGAAGATGCGTCCTTAGATTGGCCTATAGGCAATCCTGTGGAGCATTTTCTTGATTAATGACTGATTTGGGAGGGTCCAGCCCATTGTGGGTGGTGCTACTTCTGGGCTGGTGGTCCTGATTTGTATAAAAAAAGCAAGCTGGGGGCTGGACAGATGGCTCAGTGGTTAAGAGCACTGACTGCTCTTCCAGAGGTCCTGAGTTCAATTCCCAGCAACCACATGGTGGCTCATAACCATCTGTAATGAGATCTGGTGCCCTCTTCTGGCTTGCAGGGACACATGCAGGCAGAATACTATATACATAATAAATAAATAAATCTTTAAAAAAAAAAAAAGCAAGCTGATAACCAATTATGAGGCTCATCCCTGGGGAAGACTGTTTCTCCTGCTGACAGCATTCCTTAGTTACCCATAGTTCTTTGTCTAGGGTTGGGGCCCTGGAAGAATCTCCTCTTCCATGTTAGCATGTATACTGATGTTGTCCTTGTCTGGGTCTTGTTTAGGCAGCCATGCTGTTGAAACTTTATGGATTTAGCCTCCATGGCTTTTCTAGGAGACACTCTCACAGCAGACTTCCTGTTCCTCTGGCTCTTAGACACCCCTCCCCCCCCCATCAACAATGATTCCTGAGCCTTAGAGGCAGGAGCTGTGTTCTCCATTCACTGGGGCCGAGCACCATGGGAACACTTGTTCTCTGTATTTTGACCAGGTGTTTTCTGTAATACCAAGTGGTCAGCACTGAAATATACAGCAAGTAGGATTATAAGGATTGAGCAGGTTGTACTTACACATTTAAGGAAACTATATAACAACAATTAAATAAAAAGAGGCCATGAATTTGAGAGAGAGAGAGCAAGGGGGAGGTGCATGGGAGGGGTTGGAGAGAGGAAAGGGGGAAATGTTATGTAGTCATGTTTTAATTTTAAAAAAATCCTTGTTTTAATAAAAAGCACTCTGAGTAAACCATGGGGAGCAAGCCACTAAGCATCCCTCCTCCGCGGCCTCTGCTTCAGTTCCTCCCTCCAGGTTTTTGCCTTGATTTCCTTTGGTGATGGAGTATGACCTGAGTGTTGTAAACTGAAATGAAGCTTTTTCTCTCCAAGTTGCTTTTGGTCATGTTATTTATTCCAGCATCAGAAATCAGGCTAGGGCTGGGCAGTAGAAAGGCACACCTGTAATCCCAGCACTTGGGAGGCAGAAGCAGGTGAGCAATCTCTGTGAGTCTGAGGCCAGCCTGGTCTAGAGAGTGAGATCCAGGACAAAACCCTGTCTTGAAACAACAACAACAAAAACAAACAAACAAAAAGAAAGAAAGCAAGCTAGGACATATGCATTGGGAATCTTAGAAAGGGAACTGAAATTTAGGGAGTAAGAGCCCAGTTGCAGATGGTACCACCACCCCAAACGGCCAACAAAGCTTAATCTGGAAAGTAAGCCACAGCAGACGTAACAGAAATAAGATTTACAATAAGGAGCAATAGACCAAGTGTCTTGCATGGCTATTGAAAGGAACATTCTTTAGCTCGTTCATTTCAACAGAGTCTATGTAAAAAACAAGACAAAGCAAAGGACTGATGCCAGAGCCAGAGGTGGCAGGTCACAGGGGACCTGGGGTTTAGCTAAGGGTCTGAACGCGGTGCAGAGGGAGTGGAGAGCTCTCCCTGGGTCTTAACTGAAGGTGCTGGAATCCAGGTCCCCTATGCAGCAACAGCAGGACACTTCTTGGTTAGCATATGGAGAGGCCCCAGGCTTGCTCCAAGCAAGATAAGACAGAGAATAAAAACGGGATGGGGGCGGAGTATAGGAAACAACATAACTGGCTTAGTGTGCCAACTACTAGGTTATGACATAACTAGTTGTTTGCTTTCAGCTGACTGGTTAATTGGCCTCAGGCCCTGCAGGGGACCCATAGCTCAGGAGGGCATTCACAGTGCTGGTTTGCTCAGCTGGCCCACAGTGCAAGTGTTCAGCCCTCCCCCCAATGTTGGTGAACTCAGTGCTTGATCACACTAGTTGCCTGAATATGTTTGAACAAATAAAAATAATATGTCAGCCCCAGGTTCTAGTTTTATAAGACTTGGAAGTCCTTAGTAAATGGGAACGTGTTTTGTTGCCCAAGATTGCAGTTAAAATCCTTAGAATTTGTTTTTCTTAGGGGTGGTAGAAAAAGATTGATTATGCAGGGATGCCCTGGATTTTAGGTGTGGATACTAGGAAGATCAGATAATTTGGAATACTAGCCAGCTTAGTGGGTGGAAAGGGCAATGTCTCCTGAAGGCACAGGGTGACTGTGTTCTGAGGCGCAACAGACTTGTGGGACGTGACTCAGTGCTTACACAGGAGAGTGTGCTGTAAGCAGGTGGAGGGCTGTGGGCATGAAGGGACTCTGGGAAAGGATATGACTTGACTGAAGTCCAGAGTGGGCTCCGTGGAGAACAAGTGTCTAGTCCTACAGTCAGCTAGCTAAGCATCTGAACTCTGTGCAAAAGCCAACGGCAAACTCTTACCGGATTTCTTTTTCTTGTTTTGAGACAAGGTCTCACTCTATTTCCCTGGCTAGCCTGAAGATCACCATGTAGACCAAGCTGGCCTTGGACTCTTAGAGGTCCTTTGCCTCTGCCTCCCAAGTGCTGGGATCAGAGGTGTGTGTCACAACACCTGGCTTCTCACCGGATTTTAAAGCAGGGAGTATCTTGAATCTACTGTGCATTACAAGTCTGTTAACTGGTTGACTGGTTCTTCTGCCTTTAGCCCACAGCCCCTTGCATACAAGAGTTCCTTACCCTGCTGGCTGTGTGTCACACCGTCGTCCCTGAGAAGGATGGAGATGAAATCATCTACCAGGCTTCCTCCCCAGGTGAGGGCTGTGGCTGGAAACACCTCATTGGCTTTTGGGGGGATGCTTTCTGTTATTTTTGGAAGATGCTTTGGTGCACCTTGCCCCACAAGACCTGCTGTTTGCCTTTGGCCTCACAGCACCTACAGTTCATAATTATAGGTGTTAAAACCTGGGAGAGCTGGTACTGGGGTGTCCTGACTCAGGGTATTCTGGTGGCAAGGAAGAGCCTGGACTATCTTACACATCCTGGTATACAATCTTAGACTAGACAATGGTCTCAAGAGAGAACCAGGCTGACTCCTTGCCTGCCCCATCTACCACACCCCATGGAGCATCAGAGCAATTGCCCTCCACCCACTTCCTGGTGGTCTGAGTCACACAGTACTGCAACTAAAGCCCGGCCTTGCTGAGAGATCATCAGTGGGAGAGTCCCTTGAGCTGATCCAGCAGAGCAGGGCAGGATGGTAAACTACTATGGTCCTGGTGACTTAGTTGTTGGTATGCAATCTGTCCAGTAGACATTTCAAGTCCCAGTGTGTGGGGGTATGTCTGTCTCAAGTCCTTGTCCTTATGCGGATAACACCAGGCCCTGTCAATCATGATGGGCTTTAATTTGAAACATGTCATTTAGCAGAATCCTGTCACAACAAGGGATGAACCTGTGTGTCTTTGGCTTATCGTTGGCAGATGAAGCTGCTTTGGTCAAAGGAGCGAAGAAGCTTGGCTTCGTGTTTACGGGCAGGACGCCATACTCAGTCATCATCGAAGCGGTAAGGGGCCTGGCCCTTTGGAAGATGGCGCATATGAAATAGTGTGGTGATGGAAAAATAAGATGTCCAAATTTGTATTTGTCTTTCAGTGAAAAGATTAGAAATACTTGGTGGAAACACCGTGGCTGCATGGGAGGCAGCAGTATAACCCTGGGGTTTGGGGCTGTGGTTATTGCTCCTTTTAAAGAGGCTTCCTCATAATCTTTCTCTCACTTACATGAAATTATTTGTAGCAAGGAAATTTGTCAGTCTCCTCCCTGTTTTCCTAAAGCCAAGAAAGTACCTTCTGCCCCTGCGTCAAGGCTGGCCCTGCATCTCTGTAGCCCTGTCAGTCTCATGGTTGTGTCGTAGGGCTTCAGGCCACTGGGCAGCCATCTCTGGCTATGAGAAAAAGAAGTCAGAGCTTAGGATTTCCCTTATCTGGATGAGTGTTTTCTCCCCCTGAAATTATTACAGTTCTTGTCTTCCTGAAGAAAAGAATTCAGTTGAGAACACAGTTACTTTAAGCAGGTTATTTAACAACGACAGCAAAGTAAGCACCCCGAAAAGACTGGAGTGGGTGTCCCAACGGGGCATAGCTTGCCAGTGGGTTCTACATTGTAGATCTTACCAAAGTTTTAAGGCCGTGTTTTTAGAGGTAAAAACAGGCTTCCTGGTTAGTTAGGTCTCATAAATAACCATTAAAAATGTCTATTCAATCATTAATTCTGGGGTGGCGGGGAGTCCCTGAAACAGAGTCTCCATCCGTCACCTCCTATTTACACCAAAGATTGCTGACAGTCTCAACAGCACATGGGCTGTGTGTGAGGTCATCGTGGAACCAAGGCCGGGTGTCTGTCTAAATAGCATCCTGATATCCGGGATGGGTTGAGGGTGAGCTGGTGGGTGTGTAGAGGTAAGAGGACTTGAGAGGGTGAGCTAGTGAACTGGGCTGTCGGTTATACTTCAGGATGCAGCCAGAGGAGAGAGAAAGAGCTGTAGTGGGAAGATAGGGTGGTCAAGAGCACCGTTTCCATTCACAGAAAGTCTGTCAGAAGCTAGAGTCAGACTTGCGTGCATTGGTGCCCAAACCCACATTGTTTCTACTGTGGTGGGTCAGGAAAGTAGCAAATGAGAGAAGTGTTTGAAAATGGCACACACGCATCTGTGGATATGGACACTCTCACTGCACAGAACACACAGGAAAGGAGAACCCGATTAATTGTCCTAAAAACAGGTTCAGACCCAGAGCCCCTTATGTGGAAATTCAGAATCTCCAAATCCTTAAATGCCAAGGTTTTCCACTAAGTTTGAGGACAGACCTTTGGCAGAGCTGTCCTGAGCTTGCTGGTTGCTTTTTATGAAGCTAACTCAGTGTGATGGTGTCATGTGGGTGTGGAAGTGCAGCTCAGACCCTGCTGGAGATCTTAGGTAACTCGGTCTCTCTCTCTCTCTCTCTCTCTCTCTCTCTCTCTCTCTCTCTCTCTCTCTCTCTATCTATCTATCTATCTGTATATATAAACCTTTAAGAAATGTATGGATTCCAACACCATTCATAAGCAGAGCTGGCCCCCAGGTTTCGAATGGTGACTTGCGGCTTGGATCTTTCATTTTCAAAGCTTTGTAGTGGCTGCGCAGAGTTTAGGAGCCTGTCACGGAAGGGCAGTGACAGCTTTCTACCAGAAGAGGGCGCGCTGACCCCACCAGACTGTGAGGACTTGGTTCAGGCTGTGAATGCTGGTGTCAAGGCATAGGGGAGGGCAGGAACTCTGTGGTGTGTGTGTGTGTTTAGAAAGGGTGATTGATTTGAGATTTTAATATTTTTGCATTTCAGGTAAGAACCTTCCCTCCTCTTCTTTTTTTGTTTTTTGTTTTGTAGATGGGACAAGAACAGACATTTGGAATCCTCAATGTTCTGGAGTTTTCTAGGTATGTTTCTCTTACATACACTTGACATGAAACATTTCATATATACTTAACTGCAGATTTTCCTGATTGTGTGGCATGATTTGTATTTGGGTATTAATCATGGTAAATACCCCCTCCCCTACAAACCTCATCTTAGACGGTGAGGGTTTGAGTAAAGAGAGTGAAGTCCAGCACTTTGCTCTATTTTCTTCTGAAAGCGATGTTAAAGCCTTCAGCCTCCTTTGCCTTCAGTCGTTTAGAGCTGGGTGTTCTTACGTCAGCAGCTGCAGACGTGTCTGCACGGCTTGGAGGATGTGGCGAGGGCGCTGCTTTCATTGTGTCGGCTCAGGTTCTGCGAGGTCAGGCCTCTGTTACCATCTGAGCAAGAAGCTAACATGTGACCACAGGGCAGACAGAGTCTGTTTACCCTCTCAGGAGGCTTCACCTTCACAAGGCCCTTGCCCTGGGCCTCTCCTGAAGCCTTCACACCCAGCACAGTTTTCTTAAGACCTAGGAATATTTGTCAGATTCTGTGGCTCCCACGGAGCATTCATGGTTTTGTCTGAGGAGTTGTGTCTGAGTGTACCTCTCTCTTTCTTGCACGTAGGACCCTCAGTACTAGGGCAGAGGGGCAGCATTGTGGTATGGTGTATGAGCAGAGCTGCCTTCCAATACTAGAGTGAAGTTCTGTTGTTGTTTACTTGTCTTGAGACCCCCTTTTTCTGATATTGAAAATTGATGGAGCTCGGGCATAAAATTCCAGCCTCTGGAAAACTGAGGCAGGAGGATTGCCCCAAGTTTGAGACCAGCACGAGCTATACATAGTGAGTTTCAGGCTGGTCTCAAAAACAACAACAAAAAACAAAACAACAACAACAAAAACAAACCAAATTAAAACAAAACGAAAATACTGAGTTTTCTGGACACCTTTGTTAAATGGTTCGCAGTGGCTTGGAAGGGGCAATGCTTTCCTATCCTCTCAAAGGAAGTGTTTTCCTGCCTAACTTGTAGCTTGTAGCTGTGAGCTTGGCTCTGTGGGTGAGAAACCCTTGGGGTCAGCTAAGCCATGGCTGATGATGGCAGCAGGTCATGTAGGGGTGGTGACGGTGTGCCTGTGTGGAGCGTTCAGCCTTGCTCGATACCTCCTCAGACTTTTTGTATGCTTCTCCTCCTCCTCCCCCTCCTCCTCTTCACATGTCTGTGCATGTTGTGTGCATGTGTGTGCTCTCCTGTGTCTGTGCATGTGGAGGCCAGGAGTAGAAATCCAGGAAAAGAAATCTTCCTTTATCACCCCGCGCCCCACCTAGTTTTTGAGGCAGATAGCCATCACAGTCTCTCACTGAGCCTAGAACTCAATATTTAGACTGGCTGGCCAGCGAAAAGCCAGGATCGGCCTGTCTCTGTTGTCCTGGCCCTCTATAGATATGCACCACCACGTCCTGCTCTCACATGGGTGCTAGTGGTCCATACTTGGGTCCTCAGACTTACACTGGGAGCACTGCCCACTGAACCATTCTCTCCAGCCCCTAGCACATCTCCTACTGGCAGTTGCTAGCCTGTGCTGCATTAACCGTGGCTAGCTCTTAACAGCCAGCCAGAAGGAAGAGGAAAGGGAATGAGATAATAGCAGATGACTGTGGATGGAAACACAGGGGGCCAGTGTTTAAAGTGATGGGACAGTAGGAAGGAGTCAGTTGTGGTTACAGGTTCGGATACTTTTCAATGGATGCATCAGTTTCCCAATGCCACTTCCTTCTGTAAGGTTTCCTTGGAGTCGTCAGGGACCGTCGTCTGCTTTGTACATTAAGAAACTGAAACAGCCTAGGAGCTGAGAGAGCATGAAGACCGGTTCCGGAGAGTGCCGTGGGTCAGACTGTGGGAATCACCACAGGGGAAGGCCTCGGGTGGAGGGTGTGTTCCAGTCGGAGGAACTGTCGGCAAAGCACAGTGCAGTGTATGTAGGGAAAGAGAGTGGCTGGTCTTGTGGTGGTGCAGGAGAGAGCCGGTGGGAAGTGAGTCAGTGCGGCAGAGGTAGGGAAAGAGGACTCGGGGGCCCCCCCGGGCAGCAGAAGCCCCTGAGGCTCAGCAGGTGGGCTGCTGAGACTTGAGTAAGGAAGGGTCTCTGCCACAGTGAGAGGAGAGGAAGTGCCTGGTGCTGGGTGAGAGAAGTCTAAGAACTGGTCAGTTCCTTCTCCAACTAAAAGAAGCCATCCAAGGAGCTTGTGAAGTGTGCTGACTCTCCCACCTTGCTGTTTTCGAGGGACGGCTCTGGAGCTGTGAAATAGAGACTGGTCATCGAAGGGATTGGCAGTGATTCGGCGTGCACGGCTGGTGCGCAGATGTTCCGATTTTGGCTCTTTGGCACACGGCCGTGCACTGAGTCCTTGTGGCAGAGCAAGGCATGTGGGCTTCCGTCCATTTGGGATAAATGGGCAAAGTATATGGTTGAAGTTTTACGTTGAGGAAAAAGCTGTGGAGAAATGGACCTTGCTATTTCTAGGCTCGGCACCTTTTGTTTTGACTTGTGTTCAGTTGTTGGACCTGGGTCCTGTAAAGCAGACAAGTGATGACCCCCCCCCTTTACTGTTACAGTGACAGAAAAAGGATGTCTGTCATTGTTCGAACCCCATCAGGACAACTTCGACTCTACTGCAAGGGAGCTGTAAGTATCAGGGATGTGGTGGGCTCGGCCGACTTCTTAGAGGCTGCTTTGCCAAAGTATTGCTTTCCAAACTGCTTTTCACATGTCCCCCATGGTCTGCCCAAAGCTGAAACACAGTCCCAACAGGCCACTGAGAGCATGGGTTTGAGGTGACCTTAGATAAGAGCGGGCAGTGAAAAGCCTGCTTTTATCTGGTAGTGAGCTTTGGACACACGGGGTGCCACACAGGATCCGTGGAGTAGGGGTTCCAGATCTGGGTTTGCCACCATCGTTTGGTGTCTGTAAAGGTGACAGCATCATGTTGACCTGTGATCCAACTTTTTGTCCTCTCCTCAACAGCCCTTCTTCCCATCTGCTGTGGTTCATTTCCTTACTCACGGCAGAGAGAGAGAGAGAGAGAGAGAGAGAGAGAGAGAGAGAGAGAGAGAGAGAGAGAGAGAGAGAGAGAGAGGGCGGGGGAGAGAACTGTGCTGTGGGGACAAGAGTTGTGTCCATCTGTAGATCAATTTTTACAGCTCCTTTTGGACTAGTTTCCTGGGTTGGCTAAGGAAAGCTATTGCGGCTTATGAATTATACTTGTAAAATTGTATCCTGTTTTATGGTGGCTCTGTGGGATGAAGGGACAAATTATCAAACAATTTGAGACTATTCCAGGATACCTGGATCAGTGATGAGCTGCAGGGCTTACTCATCTTCATCCATCATGGTTAGGAACACATGTGAGTAGGGATTTTTCAAGATGAATAATGCATGTGGCTTTTAAAGGTATTAAATTTGGAACAGCAAAAGAATTTTACTTTTTTGGTTTTTTTTTTTTTTTTGAGTCAAGGTGTTTCTCTGTGTAACAGCTCTGATTGTCCTGGAACTTGCTTTGTAGACCAGGCTGGCCTTGAACTCACAGAGATCCACCTGCCTCTGCCTCCCATGTGCTGTGATTAAAGGCGTGCACCACTACCGCCCAACTAAAAGAATTCTACTTTTACAATAAGGGCAGCTTTAGTCACAGCATCACATGACCTTGATTTTAGACTTTGTGTGCTGCTTATAGCTGTGAAACCAGGACAGGGTTGGCATGGAAATGCTGCCGGTGCTCATCGTATTCTTGCAGGGTTGGTTTTGTCCAAACCTTGCCCTCTCCTCTAGCAAACTAGTTTAGTGAAAAAAACATTATCAGTGTCTTAAGATGCTAATTTATATAGTGGGTTGTCAGGAACATACAGGCACCCATTCCTGCCTGTCGGTCATGAGGTATAGGCTTGTGCCAGACTAGGTATTCTTCATCAAAAGTGAGTCAAAAGCTCCAGGCCTGTGGTCACTTTGGTTATGGGAACTTCCCTGATTGGCAAGTAAGGTTGTACTGGAATACCTTAGGGTAAGCACTTTATTCGTTTTTACCTCTTCATAAAGATATTGCAGGGTGAACACCCTAATAAAAACATCCCAAATTAGCTGGGCACGGTGGCTCTCACCCTTTATCCCAGCACTTAGGAGGCAGAGGCAAGTGGATCTCTGTGGGCTGCAATGAGAACCTGCCTCAGTCAAGCAGCAGACAGACAAACACACAGAAAATAACCACCAACAAACAGAAATCCCACATCTGGCCCGATGACATGACTCAGCAGGTAAGGGCGCTTGCTGCCAAGCCTGACCAGTAGACATGATCTTTAGACCCATATGGTGGAAGGAGGGAACTGACTCCTGCAGGTTTGTCCTGACCTCCCCCCTCATTCTCTCCTTGTGGTACATCACATCACACACACACACACACACACACACACACACACACACACACACACACATTGACAACAAAAAATGCATTAAATTAAATTTTAAAAGAAGCCCCAATCCAAAACTTTTTAAGCACTGACGTGATGTAGAAAAATTCCACATCTGACCTCATGGTATGAGTTTCAGTCTAAATGTAGCCATGGGAAAGATACAAAATTATTTTCAGGCTGTGTGAATGAATAGGGTGGAACACGAAACATAAATGTTTAGATTGAGCTCCCATCCCTAAGAAAAGTAATACATGTATCATACGTGTACACATGTACTCCGAAATCTGCAAATACCCCGAATCTGAAACACTTCCATTCAGATAAAGGGCGCCCAGCCTGTGCACGACTCATGGTCTGAGTTTTGCAGCTGTGTGCAGATGTGGGCGCTGCAGTGACCTTGCTCATGTCTCTGCTCTCAGGATCTTCTCCACTGTTGTCTCTTTTTGACCTTCTAGCTACACACAGCTTTTGATGTTGTTGGGCGCATCCTCCAAAGCTCACGTTTGGCCCGACTGAGAGCCCCGCTCTTTGCCCGGTCAAGTATTTTCATGTGCATTAGGTAAACATGTACGAAAGCAAGCAAGCAAGCTGTGTTTCGCGTGCCCCCCGGCAGATGTCCTCTGGGCTCTGCCAGTCTCAATGCATGTTTCCCCCTTTCACAGGATAATGTCATCTTTGAGAGACTTTCAAAAGACTCCAAGTACATGGAGGAGACCCTGTGCCACCTGGAATATTTTGCCACAGAAGGTGAGTGAACTTTTGAGATGTTTTTGACCCTGTAGCTGAGCTTTCATGGGCCTGTGGCTGCTGCAGGCGCGGGCAGGCATGCCTCTGGACAGGTGTGTGCTTCTCCTGTAGCGCCCACTTGCTTGGCAGGACTGAGTTTTCAGCTGCCTTCCTTTGTCCCCTCCTGCCTCCTGGGACAGGGAGGAAGTAGGTGGCAGAGTCCACACTCAGTTACCTGCGCTTGACTCTGCTACTTCGCAGGTGGTACAGAAAGAGAAGGCAGTTAACTAACCCACAGCATATAGAATCACAAATGTCCCTTTCCTCGGATGCTCTAGGAGCTATTTCCCTGACCTCCTTGGGCTATCGCTGGCTTTCCCAGGACTTAAGCAGATAATAATTCCCATTGCTCACGGTGAGCAGGAAAGGAACTCTCTGGAAGCCTTTGGATAACGGTGATGTCAGGTTTTCCTGCTGGTGAATGTGATGATAGATGCGTAAGTGCTGAGTGCTCCTTTCTGAGTGTGGTATGCTTCCCTGTCTAGACACATGCACACGCACGAGGGCATGGCTGCTGAGAGCCCAGCCCTTCCATATCATAGCACAATAGGCTTTTTATTGATGTCTTGAAATGTGCTTCCTGACTTCTTTGCTTCCTACCTGCCTGTGGCATACATACATGTGAGTTACACAGATTCTATACCCCTCTGCAGTGAGAAATTCACTCATGGGATCTCATACACTCCTAAATTTATAAGAAGAACAGTTTAAAACATAGCAGGGACATGAGTTACTTTTCTGAATGTTACAAGACACTTGGCAAAAGCCACTTAAAAAAAGAAGGGGTTTATTTTGGCTCAGAGTTTGAGAGTGCAGTTCATCATGGAGGGGAAGGATAGTGATTGGAGCTTGAGGCAGCCTTTCGCATTGCATCTTGGGAAGCAGAGGGAGATGAAAGCTGGCTTTCACCTCTGTCTCTGTGTTTTATTCAATGTGGGACACAGGGCATAGCCCATGGAGTAGGGTCACTCAAAGTTAGAATGGACATTCCTCTCTGCACCTAGAAACTCCACAGACACACTCAGAGGTTTGTTTCCTAAATGCTTCTATCTCCTATTGAGTTAGCAATCAATATTAACCATCACAGTAGGCAATTTCAAAATTTCCCTTTGTAGATACGTGAATGTTGCATTAGAGGGGCCTGAGAAGCAGATTGCTTTCTTAATTTAATTTAATATAATTGACCACCCTGACATAAAAAGTGTCATGTGATGTCCCCTAGGAGGTGGTGTGTTCTTCTCCCCACCACTTACTGTGGCTGTCTTGCAGGCCTGCGGACTCTGTGTGTGGCCTATGCAGATCTTTCTGAGAATGAGTATGAGGAGTGGCTGAAAGTCTATCAAGAGGCCAGCATCATACTGAAGGACAGAGCCCAGAGGCTGGAACAGTGTTATGAGATCATCGAGAAGGTAATTATATGAGTCAAGAGTCTGCCCAGGGAGGATGTCACAATTCCGAGCAAAGTTTTTTGTATAAGAATCTGTTGATTGTCTTGGGATACTGTTGCTTTCTCTAAGTGTCTCCGTGGATTTCAAGTTTTCATCATTCTTTTGCTTTTGGATAATCTCAGGTTAGGCTGTCTGAAACGTCTAGTCACTCTCAGTCAGGTATTAATGAAACCTTAAATATCTGGTTAACACTGATACTGATGGGCTGAATAGATGGCTCATCTGTAAAGGACTTGCCTTGCAAGCACAAGGACCAGAGTTTGATCCCCTGAACCTTTTTTTTTTTTTTAAAAAAAAAAAAGCAGAGTATGATGGCACCTGCTGGTGACCCCAGTACTGGGGAGGTGGGGACAAGAGAGTTTCTGGGATGGTCAGCCGGATTAACTTATGTGACAAATTCCAAGCCATTGAGAGACCCAGCCTCAAAACAAAGGGCAGTAGGAGAATGGCACCTGAGGAACAACCCCTGAGGTTGTCCTCTGGCCTCTGTGAGTATACTCTTTTTTTTCTCTCTCTCTCTCATGCGCATCAGTATATAAGCATGTGAACAAGCACACATGCATAGCATGTGCACACACATACACACACACACACACACACGCACACAAACTCATTTGCATCAGCATATAAGCACATGAACAAAAACACACGTGCAAACCAGCATTGGAGACTCTCCGGCTTTGCTGAGATTCTACCTAAGAACGGCTCGCCTGCTGAGTTCCGTGATGGAGCACTGGGTCCGCTGGGTAGACACTGTACCCGTGGAGAATATTCACACTCACTCAAATGATGTTCATGCTTTGCCCTTGCCGTCCCTTGCTGCCTACTTTGGTTTCTGTCTTGGTGTCTTTCTTTTCTGTGTATTCCAGTATGTTAGGAAATATTATATTTATTACTTCAATGCCCTGAAATCTGGAAGCTAGATTGCAACCTTTTGGGATCATGCCAGCAACCCCTGGACTATCCATTTTCTAGTTCCTACACTTTTGAAGGCATCACCTGCTGTCCTTTCCCATTCCTGCTCTAGCTTTATAATTCCACTTCACTTTTCCATATCCAGTTTCTGCTTGAGCTTTATCTTCAGTGGCTTATATCAAGTTATTTGATGGAATCGGGTGGGGAGTAGATCTGAATCTAAGCACCCATCACCCTGCTTTATTTATTGGTGGGGGTCAGTTAAGTGTATCGGTTTACTTAAAGAAGGCAAGGTCCCGAGCAGGCAGCATTCCTGGGGGAAAGTGATGCCCAGAGTGTCCCTCCACATCCCGCTGTGGACGACATGTGTCAGATAGGGAAATGGCGTATACAAAGACCTGGTGTGCTCCTGTCACCTCTGCCTTCTATGGGTGTGCTTCTGTCCTGGTTGGCTAGAGAACCGGTTCCTGTGATTGTCTAGGACTCATTTGTTTGGTTATTGGGATACTCTTAGGTTAGGTTACAGTTTCCTTGCATATCAAGCTGTGTTACAGTCCATTCCCTATGTAAAGTCCATTTAGGGCCACATTTTAATACCCAAGTACCGAGAAAAGTTCAGGATGAACAGCATTGGAAATACTGAATATTATGCTTATGGTCAGAAAATGTGATCAAGAGGGTGCCATGCCCATGTGGGTTTTTCTTTGCTTGGATAGCCAAGCTGAGGTTCTGGCTTGTAGACTAAGGGGGATGGGTAAGTAGGAAGGCCCTCTACCTAGTCTCTCAGATACCTGCCAGATTGTCAGGCATAGCGTAGGCACCTAGGGAGTTTAACACATTGACGCTTGTCCTCTGCATGAGCTGACTTTCCTCTGCTTTGAAGAGGACGACAGGGCAGCAATTCATAGTTTCCTTGACCTTGGGATGATGTGGTGTTTATTCCACTAACCAGTCCGTGGTTCTGGGGATGGAGGTTGGGGCTGCTTGCTGCACTGCTGTGCTGTACTTCTAGCATCCCACTATTGAATTCTTAACTCACAGGCCTTTAATTCATATTCTGCCAGATAACTGTCACAATGGGAATCAATTCTTTGCCTAGGTAAATTTATCTTGATAATATCCTCATTCTTGTGTTTAATATCCGGCCACATGTACTGTGTTTCCAGATGATGCCCAGTGTCTCAGTTTGTTTTCTGTTGCTGTGGTAAACACTATGGCCAAAAGCAACTTGGGGAGGGGAGGGTTTACTTCAACTTACAGGCTAGAGTCTATCATGGAGCACTGTGTTCTTGCACAGCTTGGGTTCCCAAACCCAGACTAGGACAGTGAGGGGATGAAAAAATGGCAAACACACAGACACATGGACACAGAAAAGCTGGGATTGGGTGGTCTGAACTCTTGCTTGGAGAAGCCACAGAACCTTGGAAGTGCAATGTGTTTATTATATAGAGTTGAACAAGAGCGAGGGGGTTGTTGTATATAGCTGAACAGGGAGGTGGGGTTATTGTATACTGCTGAACAAGGAGACAGATTCAGCTAATCTCCATAGGAGCAGTTTCTGGAGGGGAGCAGTCTTCAGGCTGTAAACATCCAGGGGAGGAGAAAGCTAGGACAGACTTTTTGAACACACTGTCAGCATTTGCACTGGGCCCAGAGGAAAGTGTTGCCATCCCTCGGAGCCTAACCCAGGGAAGGTTTCATCATTCCCAGGGGCTGAACCATTGGTCCTTGACACGGCTGGTGCCTTGTCCAAGAGTGCACATGCAGTCAGGATTTCACTTCCTCCCTAGAGTGGAGGGAAGCCAGAGTAGGAACTCAAGGCAGGAGCTGAAGCAGAGGCCATGGAGGGGCACTGCTTCCATGCTTGCTCCCCATGGCTGGCTCAGCCTGCTTTCTTATAAAACTCAGGGCCATCTGCCCAGGAGTGGCCACGCCCACAGTGAGCTTGGCTCTCCTGCTTCAATCATCAGTCAAGAAAATGCACCAGAGACCTGCCTGCCAGTCAATCTGATGGAGGCATTTCCTCAAATGAGGCTCTTCTTCCCAGGTGACTCCAGCCTGTGTCAAGTTGATAAAAACTAAACATGATACTCAAGTACCATAGAATGATTGATGGGGAGTGTCTTGAGTGGCTCAACCTGGTCAATGGTTTGTGACTGCTTTACACTCTGGTGTCATTAATTGGTAACGGCCTATCAGGGATGTCAGAGTTCCTGCTCTTGAGGATGAACTGTCCTTTAACTGATGATATTTTCTAAATTCCTAGAATTTACTGTTACTTGGAGCTACAGCCATCGAAGACCGTCTTCAAGCTGGGGTTCCAGAAACCATAGCGACTCTGTTGAAGGCAGAAATTAAAATATGGGTGTTAACAGGAGACAAGCAAGAGACTGCAATCAATATCGGTAATCAATTCTATAAAATTCCAGATGCTAGTTTTTATTGTAAAAATGTATGTTTTCCAAGTGTGTTGGAAGTTTATAAATCTCTCTTTTGTTTCAAAGTTCCACCAAAAATCCAAGGAAATGCTCATGTGGGTCTATTCTGCCTGTTACAAATGTACACACACACACACACACACACACACACACACACACACACACACACACACACACGAGTCACTATGGCTTCCTGGAAAGAATTAAACATTCTTAGGTAGAAAAGAGAATTTAAGAATTGACAATATAGGTTATTTTTGATGGCTTTCTTCTTGAGTTTTCTTCCACAGATATTCTCACTAGGTTTCCACGTTCATTGCTACTTTTCATACTTACAGCCTGTGTAAGTGATGGTTTTGGACAACAGTGTGGTGACATTTCTCTATAGACCCGTTACTTTTACTGGGAAGTAAACCTTCAAACCTATAGCTTCTAATGTGCCAGTAACAGTTTCAAACGAAGGGAACACGTTTGCTTTGCCAATACTGTTTTTTCCATATATATATATGGACTGGTTTTTCATGCATTATTTCCCTCTGTCAGTTGGTCTTAAACAGGGTTTGCCTTGCCGCAACCTATGAGCCCCGATCACGGAGGGTATACCAAGCTGACTGCTGCCCTGGGGTGGATGCCTTCTGCCTCTGACAGTGAGAAGAAAAATGTGGTTACCTTCAAGTGAAAATGTTCCTAGGGTCATAACCTTCCTCATTTCCCCATGTCCTGAGTGAAAGACATCATAACATGTAAAATTGCAAACTTCAAGCAAGTATGTGACCGTCTTCAAGGAAGGAATTGATAGTGCTCCTAACACTATCCAGAAGGAGCCTGGATTCTCCTGCAGAGCATCTGGATGTCCATGCTCACAGGTGCTGAACCCCACCAGGAAAAGGGCACTGGACTGATGAGCAGGAGGCAGAGTTCAACATGTATGGGGCCTTCCTACTCCATAGTTTTTCATCCCTAGAAAATCCAATGGTATCACCCAGACTATCAAGTTATATCAAGGGAACACCATTATTTCTCTTCTTTAAACTACCAGGTATTTTTAAAACTAAAATGGAATCATTTAAAATCCCAAAGCCTGATGGACAAACAAACATGTTAGAATCCTTTTAAAAAATTAAAGACAGGGAGGTAACACAAAAGAGTTTTGTACATAGTTGCAGACCCATCTTAACAGCAGTGGTGGGTAGCCCTGAGCGCCTCTGAGAGTGGGTCCCTGGACCCCGGTTAACGTTTTACAAATGCTTTCTTTCCTCTTGTTCTTCACAGATTAGCTCCAGAAGGAAGGGCTATATTTGATTTTCACCTACAAAAGGGGGTATTTTGACTAATCGTTTCCCTGTATGTTGGGCTAACTCTTCACCCCTAGGGACTCCCCGCAACTCCAGGCAGCCCAACTGTTAGAAGTTTACTGTCACTAATGTGAAAGGATTTTCTGGAAGTATTTCATTTGAACAACAGCTGCCGAAGCAAGCTGTAATTTTTAAACCCTGGATTTCTGCTTCATTTTTTATAGTTTGCAATTTAAGCAAAATGCTATTTGACAAGTGAGGGTACACAAAGACATCCTGGAGAAACCCATAAGTACTTTCTTTTCAGCATGGCGGGAGGAGGGCAATAAATAAGTAAGTGACACTTGCTTGAATTTAAAGAGAAAGCTAAAGGCTCCTGAGGAGAAGCAGATTAAGGAAGCTGTTTTGTTTCATTTGGAAAATGAAGTTGGATTTTGCTTAGAAAATTATCATAGGCCACCTGCCCTCAACAATCCTGCTCTGTTTCACTCTGTTAACTGTGAGCATCGACCCCCATTTGCTACTCTTGATTTTTAATGGTTTTGGATGAAATGAGATCAGCTCTTGGAGAAGAGCCAGGCAAAGAAGTCAGCCCACACTTGTAAATTGAGGTCTCGCTCTTTAATCTCGAAATCTGTAAGACGGCCAGCCATCAGGGACCGAGAGTGGTACCTCTGGGGTGACTTCTCCCCGAGGTTGAAATTAACAGCACACTACGAAGGCACTTATTCTTCTCACTGCCTGAGTATGATCAACTCTCAGAGAAGTCAAAGTCTGTGGGTCTTAGAGCAGGACGTGATTTTTAAGACAATAAAATAACATTTCACTCTAAGAAAACATTACCAACCTAAAACTCTCAGCTCTCCTAACTAGTGTTCTCCTTTGGAGAGAAAGTGGAAAGAGTAAGCTCGTATTCCCAAACACATCTAAATCTAGATTTCTACGAAAATATGTTTGAAAGATTAGAAAGAATTTATCCTTCCTGACCATACGTTCTGGGATCGTAGCAACAGCAGACAACTACCTCTGTGGCTCAACATGATGCCAGCCCACTGAAGGTGTTGTGTTGGAGGTCTTCAGTTGTTTCCCTGAGAAGCTGGTCAATGAATGCCTGTGTGTGGATGGATGAAAACCATTGATAGGCATTATGATACAAGATGGTCTCATAGGCTACTCCAATAGGAACCAGAAGGTCCAGTCAAAGGCCCATGATCTAGAGAGTCAAGGAGCACAGGGCCCCTCACAGAACCTGGTTCATGAGCACCTTTACCTCAGACTCTTAGGCTTCCTCAGGAACCCTCGCCCATGGAAGTACGCGCTAAGCTGGCCTTACCTAGTGAGCTTCAATAGTGCGCCGACCTCATCTGTTCTATGAACTGTTGTATTTTTTATCTTTATTTTTATCTTATTTCTTTATTTGGGAAACTCCTTGGTTTTTCACCTGTCCCTGTTCTTCATGTCTCTGTGCTTCAGTTTGACCTTTAAAGCAAGGAATAACCACTTCCAGGTGTAAAAGAGTTAGCATGGTACTTTGAACATCATCAGTTACATTTACTAGAAACTACTGCCAAACTAGCCAGGCTCACAGTCTGCTGCACAATTAGCATTTTATCATCCATTCATACTCTAATGGGTTCATCAGCCCCAGCTGGAGAATGTGGGTTCCCCAACTCCACTGTAGAGTGCCTGGCAACCGCTCTAGCCTCACATTGCAAAGAAATGCAAGTCTTGATTTTTTTCAACAACCACTAAAAGTTGGAACTTCTGCCATTAATATAACTGGTGTGGCCTTAATTCACCTGGGAATGAGGGTTTATCTCCTGAAGGAAGAGGCCATGTATAGTCAACAACAGTCTAAACAGGCACCAGAGCTAATTGTTTTTGAACAGTAAGTTTCTAATCATTTTGTATGTGAAATGCATATAATGAGTTTTTTAAAATCATTTAAAATAAATTTGTAAGACCATAAGTGTTTAAAAGCCACAGCTGATAGGTAACAAAATTCAGGGACATTGAGAGACTGGTTCACATTGACAACGAAGAAATAATTTTAGATGAAAAATATTTCTACCTTCAAGACTTTAAAATGGATTGAATACACAGTAGCATTTTTTGGGTCTCATTAATTCCACATTCATAAGTGTTATGGTCCTGGAGAAGTCCCACAAAAGACCACCATTCACATATGCAATCACCAGGAGTGTTTATTATCTCAGGAAAGCCTCCAGCATGCTGGGGCTGACCATCCTACACAAAGGCACAATGACAACAACCCCGAGATGAGCTCACAGGCTCATTTTAAGCACAACCAAGGGGAGGTCCTAGAGCAGTTAGGTCATTTTAGATATGATTGGCTTAAGCAAGTAGCAATTATATTAGTACATTCTAATTGGCCAGGGCTAGTCAAGGCTGGTCAGGGCTATAGTTTTCCATTTTGGGGCAGTCCTGGACAAGTCCCAGGCTTTGTCCTTATTCAGCTTGCTGATTGGCTTGGGCTTGGCCTGGCCTGATACTGCATGTACCAGGCCTCCTTGTCCTTGCTGTTGGGGGTGTTGGAGACTGGTTGTCCTTTGTGGCTCTTTCAGAAACTGCTTGTTCAGTCTCAGGAAACTGAGGCCATCATTTATGCTATAGAATGGGAAAAGATTTTTACCAACTCCATATCTGATAGAGGACTAATATCCAAAATATATAAGAACTCAAGAGACTAACTATCAAAAACCAAATAATCCAATTAAAAATTGGGTACAGATCTAAAGAATTCTCAATAGAGGAAACTCAAATGACTGAGAAACAAAGAAATGTTCAACATTCTTAGCTATCAGGGAAATACAAATCAAAACTACTTTGAGACTCCATCTTATATCCATTGGAATGGCTAAGGTCAATAACACAAGTGACAGCTCATGCTGGCAGGGATGTGGAGTAAGGGGAACACTCCTCCATTGCTGGTGGGAGTGCAAACTTGTATAGCCACTTTGGAAATCCAATATGGTGGTTTCTCAGAAAATTGGGAAATCGACCTACCTCAAGACCCAGCTATACCACTCCTGGGCATATACCCAAAGGATGTATATATACCATAAGGACACCTGCTCAACTATGTTCATAGCAGCTTTATTCACATAGCCATAAACTGGAAACAATCTATAATGCCAACATTTTAAGCTTAAAAAACAAAAAAGAAACTTTCCAGTTCCCCCAGTCTATAAGATCTGGCCCCCATGGGCAAGATGGTCATTTATCCATATAAATCACTGTTGCTCACAAGATATTTATATATCCCAGAACTTAACTTGACTAGGTTAATTTCTAAGGTATTATGGAAAAAATATGCTTAAAAAGAAATGAGACAGCTGATAGAATAGATAGTGGTAGAGTGTTAGAGTGAGGGGCTCTGGGTTCAAACCCAAGGACTGTAAAAAATGAGTTTTAGTGCTGGTGAAATGGCTTAGTGGGTAAAGGTGCTTGCTGCCAAGCCTGATGACTTGAGTTTATCCCTGGAACCCACATGATCCCTAGAACCAACATGGTGGAAGAAGAGAACTGGCTTCTGGGAGTTATCCTCTAATGCACACACACACACACACACACACACACACACACACACACACACTAAAAAGTTTTGATTTTTGTCTCTAAAATTATAGATAGAGATAGATGTAGATAAACAATTGCTAAAGAAACCAACAATCCCCAACATAACAAGTGCCACCAAATCTACAAATGAGCTCTTCTTCTGATGTGTTTCACTAAGAAAATGCTGCCAATAAAATGTGGACATCCAAAGCCCTAAGCACCTTGATGTCAAGTTGCTATAACATGAACACAGTGTTCGCATCAGAACGGTGAGACAGCTCTATGCCCTACATTCTCCACCTCCAGCTTCACAAGGCAGATTTTGAAAGAGCTGTGGAATCTCCTTACATAGGCCCTGGGCCAGAAGTTAAGAGCCTGAGACTGGGAACACCTTAGGCAACCTTAATCCAAAATTTTAAAATCTTAAAAGCTCCTAAGTCCAAAACTGATCAGTTTCAGATTTTGAAGCATTCTGGATTTTAGACTTCTTGATTGGAAATGCTCAACCAATGAGACATATGCAAACATTTCAAAATTAAGGTATGCTTTGTATACACATGCTTAAAAATAACCTACAAAATCTGAAACATAACTAGTTTCAAGCACAAGATGCTCGCTCTATACTAGTTTGGTCTTTAAGAACAATGTTTCTGGGGTCTGGGGAGATGACTCAGTGGTTAAAAGCACTGGCTGTTCTTCCCAAGGACCCAGGTTCAATTCCCAGCATCCACATGGCAGCTCAAAACTGTCTATAACTCCAGTTCCAGGGGATATGGCACCTTCACATACACATATGTATATATGCAGGCAAAACACCAATGTGCATGAAATAAATTATTTTGAAAAAAAAAAGAACAATGTTACCTTGAGAGATTCTGAGTTACTTCTTTGTGTAATTAATACACTTTTTTGGATATGGCTTCAAAAATATTTTTTATCAAAAGCTATTATTTTTGTCTTTATAATTTGTCATCTGAGGCACTTTACCAAATATTTCTTTTAAACAAATGACAATCCTGAGTGAAGGTTAGTGTACATTCCAAAATAAACAAGTGAAAATGTTTATTGTTTGCAAGAAAAACCAACAAAAGATCTTCTTGGTCTTATTTTCTGTCCGTTTTGAGTTCTACTTTGTGTCTGTCAGGGGTAGTAATTTTTTTTTAAGATTCATGACCTCATTAACCCCAGGTAGTTAGTTAGGTGTCTTCTACCAGCCATGATTTCCCTCCTATCAGGTAGACCTTAAGTCCAAACAGACAGCCATTGGTTACTGCCGAGATATGAGTGCCACTATTGCACTTTAAAGGGTATTTTGCCATTCTGGTCATCGTTACAATTCATTGGCATCACAGCTAGCTAGGACTATTGATTGTTTCCCCCACATGGACACTTACATAGTATTTTCTGATACTATGAAAGCTAGACTGCAGGAAGGAGGCTTTCAGATTAGATCCAGCTTGAATCTTCCTTATCTTGTGTTGGAAATGTATGGTCTTCAGCAATAGGAACTTAGTTGCTTTCAACCTCGAGAGGCAACTGAGGGCAATGGTGATAGCCTATATTGTTTTGGGAGTCACTTGGCCCAGCCTGTCCAACAACTGAGTTTTCTCATGCGTCATACTGGAGTTTTTGTTAGATAGTCTATGACTCTTGTGGGGAGTATTACTAGTCGAATAGGCATAATTTCATTTTTAATAAATGTATATGTGTGTGCTTTAATGTATTGAACATAATTTAATTTGGGGTAAATACAAAATAATACAATTCTCTGAGGCTTTGTCAAACATCCTTACTGAGAGGTAGTTTGATTTAAGAACAAGATTGAAATCATTGATTCTAATTGGAAATACCTTTGTCTTAAACCTTTATATATTTTTTTAAACTTAAATTTAGGTTTCCTTTTTTAAGTAGAGAGTGACTCCCTTGGTATACTAGTATTCCTTGAAACTTTTGATAAGTGCCAGCTAATTAAACTTTTGAGAATTTCTTACTAATGTAAGAAAAAGGTGATCTTGCTTATGCAGTAGCTATGCAAACTAGGAGCGTAGATTCCACTCATCCTCTAAACTGTTTGCTGTTATTTTAGGTAAACCAAGGTTTGTCTTAATGTTATACAAGAATAGCCAGAGTACAGAAAAAAAAAAAACCTACAGAAAATTGGCAAGAACTTATTTTAGCCTTTAGATATAAAGACCTTATCAGCTTGTTCTCTTTAGGCTGTTTGGAAGATCCACAGTGACTTTAGGCTTATGCCCCTATTCCTCTAGTCAATAGGGACAAGGTAGACATAAGGAGAGAGGTTGTAAGATGGGTCTCTGCATATGTGTGTAACCTCAGCTTCGAGTGTGGTGGAGACAGGAGGATGACTGAGAAAGCATGGGCTCCAGGTTCAGGGAAGACCCTGTCTCAATGAAATGAGTGAAAAGTGGTAGAGGAGGACCCCAGAAACCTTTTTCTGACTTTCACTCAAGTGCACAGGTTAGGTACTGCACACACATGTGTGCATACACTCACACATACACAAATGAAAAATTATAACTCTTCAAAAAGGAAAAGAGGTTGCCTGAGCCATTGAATTGGGAATTCACAGGAAGAATGAGGTTAACATGCTGTCCCTTCTCCTTTTCAGGGTATTCCTGTCGGTTGGTGTCCCAGAACATGGCCCTAATCCTGTTGAAGGAAGATTCTTTAGATGTAAGTTGCTTCTCAAATGTTGTATCTGATATAGCTGTAGTAAGTTATTTACTATGATTATCAATCAGTTTAATTTTTGTTAAAGGCAATTGTAAAACTACCCTATTTAGTATGTCTTTATGGATGGATGCCATAAAGTCTCATCTCTAAACATCAAAATGTTGTGGGCTCCTGGAAATATTGTACTCACATAGGACTGAACATTTAAAATGGGTCAGTTTTGATCTTGTTTGGCTTTGTTGACTCTGAAGTTTTACATGGTGTAATGACATCTATTATGATTTGCATGAAGTGGTATTGGCTGATTCAGTGGAGGGTCCTCGGGGTGTTCTTTTGGGTAGATGCCTCCCAGTACAGCTAATAGTCAAGTTCTGGTAGTTGCTTAGTTTCATGTACTTAATTCCTCAGCACCAGATGCCAACAGATCATAGAGAATGGAACACTATGGGTACCAGAGTGTTTTTAATAGGCATGTGTATTCCTGGGCGTGCTGGCTACTTTTATATCAATTTGACATAAGCTAGAGTCACTGGAGAAAAGGGAACCGTAATTGAGAAAATGCCTCTGTAAGACTGGACTGTAGGAAAGCCTGTAGGACATTTTATTAATTAGTGACCATTGGGGGAGGGTCCAGCACACTGTGGATGGGACCATCCCTGAGCAGGTGTTCCTGGGTTCTGTAAGAAAGCAGGCTGAGCAAGCCATGAGGAGCAAGTCAGTAAGCAGCACCCCTCCCTGGTTTCTGCATTAGCTCCTGTCTCCATCAGTCCCTTCCCTGTTTGAGTACCTGTCCTGACTTCCTTTGATGATGAACAGTAATGTGGAAACACAATCTAAATAAACCCTTTCCTCCCCAGTTTGCTTTTGGTCATGATGTTTCATCACAGCAATAATCACCCTAACTAAGAAAGATTGGTACCAGCATAATGGGCTATTGCTGTGATGGACCTGATGGTGTTTGGGAGAGGATTGTAGAAGGACTTTGCAACTTTGGGCTAGAAAAGTCACTGAGTGTTGAAAGCTCATTGGAGTGTTCTGAGGGAGCCTGGAAGAATGTTGAAAGCAGTGCAGATGGTAAAGGCCTGACTTATAAAGTTTCAAAGGGAAGAAAAAACTCTGCTGGGCCATTTGTGTGAAGAATCTGTGGTGTCTGGCTAGCTGGAACTGAAGAATCAGCTGTGATTAATAAGAGACCAAAACCACTAAAGTAAAACCTTTGTTTTGCTTGGACAATGGTCAGCTAGGGCTGGAGAATCTGTGATTAAGAAGAGACCAGCATCAATGAGGTGAAATCTTCTGGGAAATGTTTCCTCAGAGTCAACATGCAAGCTGTGTTTAGAGGTGGCCAAAGTTGTACTCTGTGCTGGCAGCCAAACTTGGTAGTGGAAGAGTTACTCAGGTGGTACTGGTTTTGAAGGCATGAAGGGGTCATTAAAAACAGCTGGGCCTTAGCATGGTGAGAGGCCAGGATAGGCCATTGGAGAAGGTGGACCCTCAGGAGCAGATGAAGACCCAGAATTGAAGGGGTCATGGAGAGAAGTTGAGGCTTGGCACCAGAGACTGAGAATGTATTGGCGAAAGTGCAGCCCAGTTGCAGCAAAAGACCCCAGGATTTTGGAGATGCCAGTGCCGTGGGAAGACCACCAAGAAAAGCAGCAGCTGTAGAGTGGAGTCTGCTGGAGCCTAGAAGACAAGCTGAGTGTGCTGTAGAGGGCAGAGCTGGAGAAGTGACCCAACCCCCTCAGAGGAGCTCAGAAGATCGTGAGTGGATCCCAAATAATTGGACATTGAGTTATTTATACTTTTGGAGTTTGGTTTTGCTTTATTCAGATTGTGACTATTTCCTGGTTCTTCCCTCTTGAAGTAAGAAAATATTAAATTTAATTTTGATTTTTATAGGAGCCCACAGTTGAGAGATTTTGAGCCTTTAAAGGGGATTTTGGATTTTTAAAGAGACTGGATTTTTTTAAACTTTATTTCTGCAAAGCCAATCAAGAAGTGTTGGAAGGAAAAAGTATAAAAGTTATCCTTGTGCATTTGGAAACTTCATCAAGCACTTAAAAGTTTGAGAAAATGAGGACTTAAAACAGTTGAATTGAAGGCAATACCCAGCAATGTGTATTTTAAAACAATAATGATGTCCTTTCTTAAGCAACATTCCTTTTTTCCCCCAATAGCTACAATATGATACAGCACCCAACAGCTCACTTGAAAGTGCTAGAATCAAAGGGTAAAAAATGGCATAAGCCATCCCACTTACATTTCCTACTATACAATGCCTTTTTGGCACTTGATAAATTGAGCATTCATGTAGCAATACGTTCAATAGAAACACCTTGTGTTTGATTTTTATAGGAGCCCACAGATCCTTGTCCCTCCAGTTCTGATGTCATGACATCTGACTCTTCGTCATTGTAAATATTTTCAGCCATCTGCCATATCTGCATGATGTTATTTTCAGACACTGAGCAAATGACCCAAGGTTCATTGGGGTTCCAACTGAAGTCTGAAATCTTGGCAGTGTATCTTCCATGAGTAAACAGTTCTGGAGGGCCATCTTCTGCATCTTCTGCTGATTGTTCTTTTCCAGTTTTACTTAAATCCCACACATTCAGGCGGGGATCAGTACCACTTGAATCCTGAATAGTTTCATTATGTGGAGACCAGTGGACCTGAAAATTTTCATCCTTATGTGATTCAAAGGTATGGAGTTTCAGTTTTAGATTACACAGGTCCCATAAAGCTACAGCCTTATCTACAAAGCCAGTTGCTAGAATGAACTTGCTGTAGGGATTGAATGAGAGGCAGCTGACCTCAGCAGTCTGTGCATCCACCAAATGGCTTGGCTAAGAAGTGGTATTGGATCTGGTGTCTCATATCATAAGTTTCTGATCATCAGCAACAGATCCAAACAAGGACTCATGCAGCAGATGCCAGGCCACGTCCTCTACAACAACTGATTAGCCAGTAAAGATTGCTTTAGCATCCACAGTTTTGCCTTCCTTTGGTCCTGCATTTATATCCCACAGGCAGACAGTATGGTCATCAGATGCACTCAGGAGATGTCCACTCAGTTAGAATTCCAGGAAAGACCATAGCCTTCCTTTTGATGACCTCTTAATCTAAGATCAGGATTACATTCTCCATTTGGATCTGGTTAGCGGGGTGTTTTGTATAGTCAAAAACCAATACATCAGAAGATGGTGTTTTTGTGGCAATGATGTGAGCATTCTGTGGCCTATAACGAGCATGGTTTACTTCTCCTTCATGATTAATTTTAATTTCACATTCAATTTTTCCTGTCACGGAACCAAAGCTACCAAATTCTCCCTTGTCACTGTCACAATGGGAAACATCAAACTGTGCAGCATCGTTGGGAATGTGAACTCCAGCAACCACCAGATGATTCTGCTCATCAGATGTGTGAGTGCCCAGCACTAGCCAATGAAGGGCATAATCCTTTCCTTCTGGTTTAGTTACTTCAGGAAGCCACTGAATGGTAAGACTGAGCCACTGAAGAGCATGGGTCATAACCAGGTCATACAGAAACAGTGTATTCTTCTTCCAGATTTTATATTCTTCGTTGACGACATGCTCCACCACAGGATCTTTAAACATCTCTTTACTTGCCATCTTGCGTAGGGTCATGCGCTTCGCCCCCCATTTGCCACCTCGGACTTCTCTTGTTAGCCATGAGCAGGAGCTCCTGCCTTTCCCAAGCACATAGGATAGCCTGAGCTTGGTCTGGCTGCCTGGGTGCTGCCCACAGACGCTGCATCCTTCTCTCTTGCCTCCCCCCTGCTCGCAGTTCTGAGGTCTGAGACACTCTTCTCTCTCTCCAAGACTGGATATTTGAAAGGAACTGAACTTTTAATGTGTTTCAATTTGTTAAGAATGTGGGACTTTTATAGCTACTTATGTTTTTAACGTGAGATCTTGGGGATAAATAAGAAAGGGAAGGTTGTTAACAGTGATATATTCATGTGTCAACTTGTGCTGGCTAGTTTTATGTCAACTTGACATAAGCTAGAGTCACTGGGGCAGAGGGAACTTCAACTGAGAAAATGCTTCCATAAGGTTGGACTGTAGGCAAGCCTGTAGGACATTTTCTTAATTAGTGATTGATGGGGAGTGCTCAGCCCACTGTGGGTAGGGCCATCTCTGGACTGTGGTCCTGGGTCCTATAAGGAAGCAGGCTGACCAAGCCATAAGGAGCAAGCCAGTAAGCAGCACCCCTCTGTGATCTCTGCATCAGTTCCTGCCCTCCTGAGTTCCTGTCCTGACTTCTTAAGTGATGAGCAGTGCTGTGGAAGTGTAAGGCAAATAAACCCTTTGCTCCCATCCTTGTTTTTGGTCATGATGCTTCATCACAGTGATAGAAATCCTAACAAAGGCCTTGGCTTAAAGCCCCCTGAGAAGGTAGCAATGGGGACTGACTCAAGGGTAACTAGGGACCCTGTAAAGTTGTTTGATAAGGCAATATTAGTTGAATATGAGATCCCATTTGCCCAGACTTCCAGCAGGTTCTGTTGGTACCCACAGGGACCCTTTGAGGTGGTATCTCTAATGCCAGTGCTGGGAGAAATGCCTGGGCTGGGCACACTTTAAAGAGAGGAGAGGTAGCCTGGAGTTCCTGGTGGTGAAAATGTGGGAGACCCCTTCTCTGAAGACCAGTTCTTTGTACTCCCTTGGGATCTCATGGGTCAGCAGCTGAGTCCTGGCTCAGTGCAGAGTCCAGGACATCACTTGCAAGATACAGCCTTGCACTGAGTGCTTCAGGGTGCTTCTTCATGCGGCTTGTTCTTATCTGTGCAAACTTTTAGTCACTCTACACCTGAGACAGTCAGTTTGTGAAGAGAAAAGGTTCATTTGACTCACTGTTTGGGGGTTTATTTGGCTCTTATGGTTGGCTTCCCCTATTTCTTTGGACTGTGTCAAGGCAGTGCATTAGTGGGACCATGTGGTGGAGTAACATCACTCACCTCAGGGCCAGAAGGCCA